GCCAAAAATGTTACAATCCAATCCCAATCGGTCATATAAATTACACCTATCAATTTCTTACATTTATACAATCTAGTTTATCAAAATGGATAAGAGGATATACAGATAACCGGAGAAAATCATTGAACTTTCTGTGCTAAGTCTAACAATAATTGGAGGAGAAAATTGAATTTCAATTTCACAATAACGATGACAACCGCTAAACAATTCGAGTAGTTTAGCATTGATGATTTGGATCATATCTATATGATCATGTCACAGACTCACAGTTGATGTCTGGGTAACGGGAGGAAATTATCGAGAGTAAAACAATGTAAGAAAAAAATAACGAGAGTAATATTGGAACACGACGAGTTATGAGAAAATCAAAACAGAAAAATATGAAACTAATATCGACAATATATCGAGAGAAAAAAATACATTTAGTAGAGAAGAGAATAAAATAAACGAAGGATCAAAAAAGGCAGCACGCATGCAAAATAGGCCACGTGTCGAAACCCCGCCGGCAGCACCCTCCCGTCGTCGCTCGACTATCTCTCTGTCTCTCTTCCGGCCACCTTCACATTTTCTCATTTCGATCCACATTGCCTGCAAAAGAAAGCTCTCCGCCAAACCAATTGCAGACTCAATGCACAGAGTGGCTTAAAAACTCAAAACATTGGCCCGTAGCAATTGACCTAGAGAAGCGATGCAGAGCATATTATCATACGCGACGGTCGGCGAAAATGCGTCGCCGGAGCACGCCGAAGTCGTCCCCATTACGATATTTGTGGCAGTGCTCTGCCTCTGCTTGGTAATTGGCCATTTGCTCGAAGAGAATCGCTGGGTTAACGAGTCCATCACCGCCATCTTCATCGTAACTCTCTGTTTCTATCTTTCCTTTTGATCGAATTGGTCATTTGGGTTGTTGAATGTGGTGAAATTGTGAGCAGGGAGGCGTGACTGGAATCCTGATCTTGGTCCTCCGGAAGGGGAAAAGTTCTCACCTTTTGAGGTTCAGTGAGGAACTCTTCTTCATTTACCTCCTTCCCCCAATCATCTTCAATGCCGGGTAATATGGGTCTTTTTTCTCAAAACTCTCTGTTTTTGGAATTGGGCATTTTGGGTTCAACGAAAGTTGCATGCTTTTTCTTTGCGTGTGTGTAATTTAGGGTTTTTCTCAAAACTCTATGCTTTGGGATTGGACATTTTGGGTTCAATCTCAAGAAAGTTGCAAGCTTTTTCTTTGTCTGTGTGTGTGGTGATGAACAGATTTCAGGTGAAGAAGAAGCAGTTCTTTCAGAACTTCATTACCATTATGCTGTTTGGGGTTGTTGGGGTGTTCATCTCAACAGTCATTATCTCCCTAGGTAAAAAAACATTAGCAGAATTCTGACTTTTTCACACAGATGATTCTCTGTTCTTGATTGATTTAGTGATGACTGATGAATGTGATGTACATTGGTTCAAATGTGTTGGTGTTGGTTTCCTAGGCAGCTGGTGGCTGTTTCCTAAGCTTGGATTCGTCGGCCTCACTCCACGAGAATACCTCGGTGAACATTCCTGTCTTCCATTGATGTGATTCTACTGTACTGTTGTTTCAAACCTTGTGAGTCATATCATTGGAGTGATCCTCTTTGTTTCTCGGCTTGTTGAGTTCAGCTGTAGGGACTATATTTTCGGCGACCGATTCAGTGTGCACCCTGCAGGTCTGTTGAGGATTTAAGAGAAACATATTTTGAGTCCGTGCTCTTGTCCCCTGATGCTTTTAGCATTTGCAAAGGTTCTTGATTTGGTGGTCTTGTCATGGTGTCTGTAGGTTCTTCAGCAAGATGAAACTCCTTTGCTCTACAGCATAGTGTTTGGGGAAGGAGTAGTGAACGATGCAACCTCAGTCGTTCTGTTCAATGCTATACAGAAGATGGATGTCAGCAAGATCGACTCGCAAACAATCCTCAGTGTCATACGAAGTTTCCTGTACTTGTTCTCCACCAGCACTGCTCTTGGAATCGGTGTGAGTGCTCACCGAATTGCACCACGTGTTTCTCTCGTTGATACATTCGTTTAGGGGAAGGTTTGTCTCACCCACAATTTTCTCTTTTGTAGGTTGGCCTCCTGACTTCACTTGTCCTTAAAACACTCTACTTTGGGAAGTAAGTACTCCTTGCTTGGAAAGGTAGTTAGAAAAATACGAGTGGGGATCTAGTGTCCAATTATTTCGTCTGCCTAAACAGTTTTAAAACTCCTAACACAAGTTCTGTTGTGTAAACACAGACACTCGAGCATACGTGAACTCGCCATGATGGTCTTAATGGCGTATCTATCGTACATGCTCTCCGAGGTACTTTTGCTTTGCTTAAATCCACTCACTAGCATGGTTCATGGTGTGGGTTTGATGGATGCAGCAACACTAACAAACTTTGGATTCTGCAGCTGCTGAAGCTAAGTGGGATTCTCACCGTTTTCTTTTGTGGAATCGTCATGTCACATTATTCTTGGCACAATGTGACAGAAAGTTCCAGGATCACAGCCAGGCATGTACCACTTCAGGAAGAGTCAAGTCAATCACCTCAATTCTTTGTATAAACTTACCTTGGTACTTTTATGCAGACATGTTTTTGCCATGCTGTCCTTTGTCGCGGAGACGTTCATATTTCTCTACGTGGGAATGGACACTTTTGACATGGAGAAGTGGAGGATGACTAAATTGAGGTACAGCTTCCTTAATCAGTTCTGTGCATGTGTTTTATCAGCTTGATGTCATATCTTCAAGAAGCTGTGCCGAGAGGTAATAGAATATTTCTCATGGTTGACAGCTTTGGGACTTCCCTTGGGATCTATAGCACAATAGTGTTCCTGATATTGGTGGGGCGTGCTGTATTCGTGTTTCCACTCTCCACATTTTCCAACTTCATGAACAGAAACAAAACATCCCCACTCACCTTCAAACAACAAGTCTGTTTTTCCCTTCTTTGCAGCTAAATTGCGACTTGAGGTAGATTGAAGCACATTCATTTCCTAATGAGTCTTTCGCCCTTTACTTGGGTACGTCATTCGTTGTGCAGACTGTTATTTGGTGGGCTGGCCTGATGAGAGGTGCAGTCTCTATCGCTCTTGCTTTTAAACAGGTTCTTCACATTTCCAAGCTGGTCGATTGTTGCCGTTAATAGTTGTTCTGATTAGCATATGATAGCATATGTTCTTCTGTTGTGAATGCAGTTCACCTATTCTGGCGTCACGTTGAATCCCATCAATGCAACAATGATCACGAACACCATCATCGTCGTTCTCTTCACTACATTGGTAAGCAGCAAAATCCCTTATTTTCATGACTTTCCTCACCAGAATATCAAATGAAACAACGGAATGTTGCTTTGCCATTGTTGGCAGGTATTTGGTTTCTTGACGAAACCCCTAGTAAATTACCTAATCACACACGGAATGAGAAACCAGAACAATCATGGAGCTGGAGAAGGAGGAGAACAGCCAAGGTCCCCGAAAGACGATGTGGTGCTTCCTTTGCTGTCCTTCGATGAATCTGCTTCGGCTAACATGCAAATCGCAAGGGATAATTTCTCCATGTTGATGGACAGGCCGGTCTACACTATCCATCACTACTGGAGGAGGTTTGATAATGCCTACATGAGACCCATTTTTGGTGGCCCTCGGCACAATCCATCAGAATGCTGAGTTTCTACCACAACTACTACTACTCTCGCTCAAGTCTCGACCATTTCTCCATCGAGGAATACCAGAATCGCCGGTAGTGGAATTAGCCCAAGGTTAGGGGAGAAAGGGGTGTGGTTCTTTGACTTGGTGCCTAGAATATGCAGGTAGCGAATTCTAAATGCAGAGGCCGAGATTGCCAGAGAATGTGTAGTCTCATGGAAGGAATGGCAGCGATGCCAAGTTTTGGAAGTTTTGCTGGTGAAAGCTACTGTTTCGATCTAAATGTAAATGATTTTAGTGAACTCTGCAACAAACATTTTTAGTGAAAAATGGACCTTCCTTACTGCATTAAACGTTGAACTATGTTGATCCTTAAATCATCAGAAAAGTACAAGAACGAAGTTCACTTAATAGGCCAAATCTCCTTACTCATCGACGTCCTTTTCAAGGCGCTGCAACCATCAAAAGCCATTTCAAACTTTAGAGTTCAGGGAATCATCACTTCAGCTCGCCATAGCTGCATAAAAGAAGTCACCAAATCAACCCAAAATGCACCGAGGGAGGAGGAACTTACATTGTCGGCAGATGATGAGCTGGGACAGGTCAACCCGGCAATTGCTGTTTAGCCTGGCAGCGGCGGAGCTAGCACCATCTGAGCCTCCTTTGGTCGCAGTAGCTGCAGTCAGTGATAGCACTACTACAAGCACGCAGAAGAGCAGAAGAACTTTAAGGTCTGCCATTGACCTGCCTCCTGATGTAGGCTTTCAGGACTGAAGAGTGTACAAGGCAAAGTCGGTTGCAGTTTGGTTGAGCTTAGTTTTATAAGAAGCCAAAAGAAATTTTTGTAGCCATCTGCTCACCAGTTTGTTGCAGGGATGCACGGGAAGGATGAACAACATTAAATAAAACTCTGTTCCCGGGGATACAACGTCAAGAAATGAAGCTAGCAACTAGATTAAGATCTACAGATTATTAAGGTTTTTGTAAATCTGTAGTATGTGCAGACTTGGTGACCTGAAAAGCAAGCCGAAACACTAATCTCCTCGGATACCTGACATAAGGTGAGAAGACATCTTTTGAACACCTGTTGTGGTTGTCTAAAGGCTACAGAACATATATCGTTATAAGTAGAATGTATTCAAGTCGAGTTTCCATAGGAATGCATCATTTTACAATACGTTAGTCTTTGTCGAAGTTCGTATCTGGCTGTTGCGACAAGAGCTGATGAGGTGAACAGTTTCCTAGTAACTTGACAAGCAAAATAAGGCGCAATGGGAGATAGCAGACAGTGAAGCTCAGGATTGAGATCTTGGTGTGTTTGGTCCGACATAGCCAACTATAGTTGACAAGTTTCGGTGTCACTAATCTGATGAACTTATCGAAATAAACACACAACTGTACATACGAAGGAGAAAAGGCGCTTACAGAGAGCAAAAGCCAATGTCACTACACTACCACGAATAACTGTTTTGCTGAGATTAAAGTGCATCAGTTTTTCAGTACAGCATCTAGCTAGCCAAGTTAATATTCCCCAACCTACAAATTAACAAAAGCAAGGAGTCATAGCAGCAGGCCCAACAAGACCAACGAAGCTACCTACATACAAATCATATGCCTGCAAACTGCCTTACATGATAAGAGAAACCCAAATAACAACACTAAGATGAGATGAGATATCCTCCCAACTTCAAAATCTAAGGGTGAAAGCTTCAGATTACTATTTCCATCTTTGCAAAGGGATGAATAAACAGCTAACTATATCCACAAAAGGTTAACCGTCAGTCGTCATGGTTAAGGAAGGTGGAGGGAGTGCCTGATCATTAATACTTAGACTAACATCTACTAACCAGTCATTCAATTAGCAGCAAGCAACCCGCCATTTGCAGATGCTCAAGCCCTAAATATATGCTGACGGGATAGAACTTCCATTAACTTTGCAGCTGGGAAACTTTGACAGCCAAAGAGCTCTTGAAGCTTCGAGTCGCATACAATCACAGTTGGATTAACAAGATCCTACAGAGCGCAAACCACACCCAGTGTTAAAAAAAACCGTTGTCAAATCATCAGATGAAGCCCCATTACTGCGTTTCAACACACAGTGTGGTGATATATAAGCTCCAATAGTTGTTTGTTACCTCCAAATTGTTGGCGTTGATGTATTCCCAAAGGCGGGTGCAAATCTCTGACTGGAGCATCACCCTCTCACCAACACCGAAAAAGTTTGCAAGTTCTTCAGATATCCCCACAGAAGGAGCAGCAGCATCCTGTGTGTCTTGAGACTCCTTGTCTTCATCCTCTATCTCTGCAGGAGTAGGTGCAGGAGCAGGTTCAGGTGCAGGTGCAGGTTCAGGTGCCGGAGCAGCCTGTGTATCCTGTTCTTCATCCTCTACCTTTGGCTTCTTAGAACTGGCCTCGCCTGAAGTATCAAAACAACAATAACAAAGGCTGTGACATCATTACAAACCCCATACCCACACAGAGACCCTCCACACAGTAATCAATCACTCACTGGCGGGATCAAGACGAAGGATATGTTTAGAGAGCAACTTGTTCATCTTGAACATATCAGTGCAGTCAGTCTCAAACACCACACGCAGTGCATCGTCGCAGATAATCTTCCTTTTGTTGCTCGGGTCTTGCAGGTTGTGCTTTCTTATGTATACCCATAACTGCTTAACAATCTGGAAACAGAAATCATCATCCACGAGTCACGACTCACGACACCTCAGTCAGCTATGTGGTCATGCAAGCAAAAAGAAAGCAAAGTAGGGTACAAGAAACAAAAACAACAAAAAAAAAGAACCTCAGTCCTAGGAAGAGTAGAATGGCCGACCACAACTTGAAGTTCCGGCGACACCCCACAGAGCTTGTTCAAACCACCCGCCCCGCCTTTCCTCTTACCCTTATTACTGCAAATAAGACGAGCCACATTCAACAGTACATTAGCAGCAAGTGAGTATACCTCATTAGACCAACATGAGGCTCCCCTCTCCAGTCTCCAGAACACTCAAATTCAATGGAGTAAGTAGTACATCAACTCCACATTCAATTCATTAGTTCAACCCTAACAAACAAACAAAAAAAGAATCCTTTCACAATCACTGATCTAAACCCAATTGCAAGCAGAACGATGTTGCTAAAAATTTGAGCTTTCCCGTTCCCCTCAACTACCCAGAACCCAGATAATTCTCAGCAGAAAAAAACAAAATCGAAACTGTGAGGTTTTACAAAGGGATATCACATTCCCCATTTCAGGACAAACAAAGCTCGAGGGAAGAGACAGAAAGAGAGATAACCCTTACCTCTCCTTAGGAGACTCGAGGGGAGCACCAGCAGGTGCAGGGGATTCCAAATTGAAGGAGCCGGGGGAGTGAGATGGAGGGAAGCCGGAAGAGAGGAAGAAGTTGGGGGTTTGTTGAGGGGCATAACGGTCATTGTAAGAGGGCGGAGGAAAGGGTTGTTGGTGCTGGTGCTGGTGCTGGTGAGGCGGCGGTGGGTAGCCGGAAGAGAGCAAGAAATTGGGGGTTTGGTGCGTCGGAGGGTAGCCGGAAGAGAGGAGGAAATTGGGGGTCGTTTGGTGGGGGGCATAACGGTCTTTGTAAGACGGCGGCGGAGGAGGAAAGGGTTGTTGCTGCTGGTGGTGCTGCGGCGGCGGCGGCGGTGGGTGAGGTTGCTGGAAGAGGAGTTGCTGGAGCTGGGATCGGATGAAGTCGAGCTTGGGGGAGAGGTCGACGCCGAGCTTGGACTGGAGGTGGTGGACGACGGCGGCCATGGAGGTGAGAGGGCCGGCGGCGGAGGATTGGTACTGGGAAGTGGAATAGTCGTGGAGGAGGGAGTGGAGAGCTTGGGATATCTCTCGCTCCGACATTTTTGTTCTTTTTTGGGTTTTTTAACTCGATGATTTCTGCCCTGATCTCTCTCTCTGTGTCTCTCTCTAAACTCTCTCCTTGTTTCTTTCTTTCTCTTCTCTCTGTCTCTCTCCCTCCCTCTGTTCTTTCCCTCTCAGGCCCAGTGCTTTGCTTTTGGCCCCTCTCTCTCTCTCTCTCCTCTCTCTCAGTCTTTCTCCCTCCTGTTTCTCTCTTTCTAGATTGGTTGCGGCTTGGCGCTATCCGAGTTATCAAAATCGAACCGGACCAGACGGTTGAACCGTTAAAATCAAAACAATTAGAAATGGCAATCGGCAAGTTTGGGGCGGTCCATACCCGTCCTGTGGCAGGTCAAGTTCAGATCAGGTAATTTATCATGGGTCGTGGATCGGGGCAGATCAACCCAATAGGTAAGCAATTTATATAGAAAATATTAAAAATATTCGTTATTTTCATTATAAGACCAAGAAAACAAACTATATTAAGATAAATGTAGTTAAATTATTGGAGAAATTGAGATTTTTACTAATTCACAATTTTATTATGGCTAAAATATGGTGTAATAGAAAAAATTATTATAAGTAATTTGACTATGATTACTTGTTTGGTAGGTCGGGTTTACGAGATTACTCATGCCCGCCCCGCCATAAAACAATCCAAACAGGTCTGGTAAAACGGGTCAGGTCGAAATTGTCGTCCCTAAAAACTATCCACATTGAAAATTGAAAGGGCAATTCTATCTCCATTTATGACATATTCATGGAGCCGGTGCGTAACTATATGATTAGTAAGAGTGCATAACCCAATCATCAACCGTCACATCTGCTGCACCTCTCCCTCACTTGTAGAAGGTCTCTAACATTTTCTCTTTCATTTTTAACAGACGATTTCTCTTTTATTTTAAGTCGGAATTGAAATTTGTCTGCACAGATAAATCAGATTAATTATGCTTTTCAAATAATATCTACTTTGGTATTTTTTTGGAAAAAAATTGAGACGTTTATTACCAGTCTATACCATATGGTATTGATTGTTATTAAACAAGAGCATACCATGGTGGTATGAACATAACAACCTGTAGGATGCTTGAATACATGATAATAGAAATATACTAACTGTCATTTACGACTTTCAACATTGCGTATCATAAGATACCACACTTATATCAGGGTGGTACGAAGTGGTATTTTTTGGTAATGTATTCCCCCCCCCCCCCAGAAATTTGTAGTTTCAATAGATAACGATGAACTCCTCCCTCTATACAAATATTTTAAAAAATGACTTAAAAACGAAGGAGATAACATATGGTATGGAGTTGGTAATGTGAGGTATGAAACAAAAAAATTCAAAACATATTGAAAATTGATCTCATTTTGTAGAGCACAACGAACTTGTTCCATCTGTGAAAAAAAATCCAAATTAGAACTGTCATTTTAAGCCTCATATTTGAAGCCCACTTAAAAGGAAGGACCCAAATCTTATTATGCAAGTTATACACCATAGCGCTATGCACCATATTCCTAACCATTCATGGGTAAGACTGTCGTTTTAAAATATAAGCAGGAACAAGATCGTTGAAGTTGGGTAGATAGGTAAATTCATAGGTAAAGAGTTAAGACTATCATTTTAAAATAAAAGGAGGGACAAGATTGTCTAAACTTGGATAGGTCTATAACAAGTACATATTCTAGTTGATATTCTAAAATCTACTTACAATATTAATTGAAATCTTTCCCCAAGGCATCAACAATCCACAACTAAGAAGAAAATAGTCAAACAATCCAATATATGAGAATGTGCTCATATTGGCGCATGACCGTTGGATTGACGAGATGACAATTTTTTGTAGATAAATTGTCACATCGTCGGTCCAACAACCACATAGCACTTCATAGAATGTTACAATCCAGTTACACTCTAGATTGGTAATCACAATCCAAGGAGCTGAGCTAGTAACTTGTGCAATACATACACAGGAGAAGGTCCTATCGATCAATTGTCATTTGGGATTCTATTTTGCAGGTGTTCGTGGCTAGAATCCAGGAGTATAGAGAGCATCGTTATATCTCTTTGGAAACTCACTCCATCGATTATTCTCTCAGCTCAACAGTTGAAACAATATACTTCAAGATCAACTGTCATGATCTTATGAATTACGGGAAAGAGACAATGAAATTTTGAGCTATATTGAGTGTGACTTTATAAAAGTATGAGGAAATATGTACTTGATTAGAGACATTGATTGCTATTGTCCTGGAAGAGACTAACCAATGAATAATGGAGAGCCTATGCAAAGTTTCCATACAACTTTCTTCTTCTTATGATCATGAAGTTCTATAAAACTTTAAGCACACACTATTCACACTTATAACAAATAGCTCTATAAAATATTTGTAGCAATGAGAAGTATAGAAGCTTAGAAAATAGTCAAAATAGTATTCTAAGACCATTTATTGCACCAAGCATATATGGATTTTGATTTTTGAGACACCAGTAATTGAAGAATATTTAACACCATGAAAATTTCAATATTGTTGGTAAAATCCAAAATAGTTAAGAGTTCAATTGAAATTTTGTGGACCTCTATCTTGTTGGCACTTGGCAAACAGAGAGCCCGTTAGCTCACAGTAGCAACGCTGCTCCCTCCACCACCTGAACCAGCGATTTGAACCGGTTTGGTTTTTTTTCTGAATGGGCCAGGTCTGTCGTCTTCCCTTGCTGCTGCTACAAACCGTTCCCTCCCCCTTTCTCTCTGTTTCCCCCACAAACACACAAAAAAACACAAACTTTGCTCTCCCCTGAAGGAATACCGATCCCCCGTCTCTCTCTCTCTAGTTTTCTAATAAAAGTTCGGAACTTTCTGTGATACATGGATGGTGAAGCCAGATATAGATATGTTTTATGTGGTGGTGCTATGGGAACCTGCGGCCTGGTTAATTGAGACGTGAATCCTTTTTTGTTTTTGGGTTCTCGTCTTCCAGGTGAAGAAGAAAGAAATTTTTTTTTTTGTGTCTGATCGTCTCTTCCCCTTCTGCAGGTATGTTGTATTTCTGGGTTCTCTTTGATTTTGTGTATGCTCTCTTGGGTCGTAATTCTGATTCTGTCTCGGCAAATGGGGAGAAAACTTGTTGAAGAAGTTTTTTTCTCGTTTGCATGCTGTGATGCGCTTCTTTTTCCGATTGGGCATCATAATCTCTTGCTGTGGATGATACATTGGTTTTATGATAGAATTTGTTTCTTAATGGTTTGGCGATGGAATATGTTAGATTGGTTGCGATTAGGTTTTGGTGGTCAGTATTTCATTGAATTTTTCGACAATGTAAATCGAGAACACTGGGTTGTGATTGAATCTTATTGATTCAGGGATTGGGTTCTGTGGTTCTGTGTGTTTCATGCAAGCTGAGGGGAGAGACCTGCAAAAATAACATTTTGTTTACCTGCTGAGTTAGAGCTTTGATTCTGCTCCTGGTTCTGAGATCGTGAAAGGACATTTGGTGGCATTAATTATTTTCTTGGGTGTTGTCTAGGGTACAACTGAGAATCGTTTGAAGTTCTCCGCGGAAGGCTAATTCGCGGAGATGACGAGTTATTTAGGTGTTCAAGTCTCTGATCCAACGCTCCAGAATCAGTTCACGCAGGTGGAGCTTCGTGGCCTCAAATCTAAAGTAAGTCCCTTTTCAGAACCCACCGGTGTTTGTCTGTTTGAATGCCGGCCATTTTGTCAGTTGGAATCATCCTCAGATGGGAAAATTTGTTTCAAGTTATTTCGACTTAGCTCGAGTTTTCATGTTCTTGATGTTGTTTCCCCCCCCTTCCCTTGATTCAGTTTACTGCAGTAAAGAATGAGAAAGGCAAAGTTACAGTTGGAGATTTGCCATCTTTGCTGGTGACTTTAAAAGCCTTTGCTTCAACATTCAAGGAGGAAGAAGTTGCAGGCCTCTTAGCTCAATCCTTCCCTGACTCGACTGCCGATATAGACTTCGAAGGCTTTCTCAGGGTGAGCTGTTCTCATGTTTGATAACCTTGCCTTCCTTTTTGGTTTGTTTTTGTGCACCAACTTACTACTTTCTTATGTCCAGTTGAACCACAGTCCTATTTGTCATTTCAATAAATAGGAAGTGAAAGTGCTACTGAACATATTGTAACCTATTGCCAAGGCAAAGGATATGCTCTTTAATTTGCTTACAAACTTGAAATGTAACAGGTGTACTTGAATTTACAAGGTCAAGCTCATGCTAAAGCAGGGCATTCAAAAACATCCTCATCATTCCTCAAGGCATCAGTAACCACTCTGCTTCACACTATTAGCCACTCTGAGCGAGGATTATATGTAGCTCACATAAACAGTTACCTTGGGGATGACCCTTTTCTGAAGCAGTTTCTTCCCTTGGATCCAGCAGCTAATGATTTATTTGATCTTGCAAAGGATGGGGTTCTTCTATGGTTAGTTGATTTGATAATTTCCTTGTTTTCCCCCGGTATTATCTTGAATTTAAATCATCGTCTTTGTTTTGGCTTTTGTTCAGTAAGCTTATCAATGTTGCTGTGCCTGGGACTATTGATGAGCGGGCTATCAACTGTAAAAAGGTTCTTAACTTGTGGGAGAGGAATGAGAACCATACTCTGTGCCTCAACTCTGCAAAGGCCATTGGTTGCACTGTGGTTAACATTGGTGCACAGGACTTGGTGGAAGCAAGAGTAGGTTTAATCTACTTATAGATTGCTTTGTTATATACCAGGTCAGATTTGTTGTAATGAGAAGATTTGTTGCTAACATAATTGTAATGATTATGCAGCCTCATCTTTTGCTCGGTCTAATTTCTCAGATCATAAAGGTTAGAGTTTGGCTTTTTTCTTCATTGCCAATTTGCATATAGCGAGTTATAATGCTATGGGTAGCTGGCAGGTTTTGGAAATTAATTAATCATTTAAAATATTACTCTGCATAATTTCTCGATTTGGGTGTTAATGTCGACGGACTTAAATTCCCCACTCTGTTGTTCTCAGATTCAATTGTTAGCAGACCTTAACCTCAAGAAGACACCTCAGCTCATTGAATTGGTGGAGGACAACTCTGTAAATAAATCCTTAATTGAGGACCTTTAGTTTTTAATTCTTTTTCTTCACTTGCATTGTTCAGCAACTCAATCTAAACAATCCACTACAAAAATTTATCTCTCAGGATGTTGAGGAGCTCATGAGCTTGGCCCCTGAAAAGCTTTTGTTGAAATGGATGAATTTCCATATAGGCAAAGCAGGCTATGAAAAACGTGTTACAAACTTCTCTTCGGACTTGAAGGTAATATCAATTTATATACTCTAGCAACAAGTATGCACAGGTGACATGACTCCTTTTCTTCGATATTGGGAAAATGCCTCAAATATTCTGTTAATCATGTTCAAGTAGCCGCATTAAAACTCTTCAAAACTTTAGGCATCAAATTGACATGTATCATTAGTTGATCTTTGATTGCCCCTTCAGTACCTAGAAGTAATCTTTTCCTATGAATTCTACATCCTTCAAATTACTTAGTACCCCAATTGCCTGCTGACATTAAATCTTGCCGTTATCCACAAAATATGCTTGTCGTGATGCTTTTATGGTCGAACTTGTAGGATGGACGGGCTTATGCCTACCTTCTTAATGTTCTTGCACCAGAGCACTGCAATCCAGATACATTGGACGCAAGTACTGCGCTTGAGAGGGCCACACTAGTACTTGATCATGCTGAGAAAATGGGCTGCAAGCGGTATTTGAAACCAACTGATATTGTTGAAGGCTCATCGAATCTGAATCTTGCATTTGTAGCACAAATATTTCATCGAAGGTGAGGGATGCCAGCAACAGTATGAGCTGTTTCCATGGTACCCTAAGGGGCATACTTCCTGAGCTGTTGGGGGCATGTGACTATTACCCTGAGCATAGCTACTCTAGCTTGGTACTACCAATGCTTTCTAGAGCCTTGGTACTTTTTGTTTCTTAATCATGTGGTAGTTGGAAAAGGTGACTTGTTAGCTGTGGTCCAATGTGTTTCAAAATGCTGCTTTAGTTCTTGGTAATGTTCCATGCAGGCAAGTGCACACATTAAGACAAATAGTTGAGGTTCCATAGTCAAAATTGATAGTAGCTACAAACAAATTTTGATGCACTTATGCTGAAGCATTCCTTAAACCCACGATCTGATCAATTAGTGTTACATCATTTTAATTAGTCAAGCATTTTGGTTATATCTGATTCATGATGAAATACTTATGCTGTTTTCTCCTTGGTAACTTTGTAGGGGTACCATACTAGATACGCTGTTGGTGTCATGTTCGTGTTATTTGTCTTTTTTTTTTTTTTTACCCTTTGGTGGAAAACGTATCTGTTCTTGATATTTCCTCCGCTCAACATTATGACTGAAATGAAATTTGCATCTTATTATTGCAGGAGTGGCTTGAGTACAGATGGCAAAAAGTATGCTTTCGCAGAGATGATGACAGATGACGTCCAAACATCCAGGGAAGAGAGGTGCTTTAGATTGTGGATCAATAGCCTTGGAGCTGCCTATTGTAACAACGTGTTTGACGATGTTAGGAATGGGTGAGTTTGCAAATGTCAGAGTCAATGTTTTTACCTATGAAATGGTAAAGGTTCCATTTTAGTGTATTGGTATATTTTTCAGTTGCTACTGATATTTTTCTTTTCTTGGACCTGTTTTGCATTTTGGGTCCGGGTAACTTGATTATTGAAGATTATGCTTGCAGGTGGGTACTTCTTGAAGTACTTGACAAGATTAAACCTGGGTCGGTTAACTGGAAGCATGCCACAAAACCTCCCATCAAAATGCCATTCAGGAAAGTGGAGAATTGCAATCAGGTCATACAGATTGGGATGCAGTTGAAATTTTCACTTGTTAATGTAGCTGGCAATGATATCGTGCAAGGAAATAAGAAACTCATACTCGGTAAATGTCCACGGTCCCTTTCAGCAACAACATGCTATTGGAGTTTGTAGGAAATATCATTGCTAATTCATATTGATTCAAAGTCTCCACATTTTGTACTCTTTCCTGTCTTGAATACCTATGATTAATGTCTCATTGAATCTGAAGATCAATGGTTCTTTTTCAGCTTTCTTGTGGCAGTTGATGAGATATTCCATGCTTCAACTTCTGAAGAACTTGAGATCACACTCTCAAGGGAAGGAAGTAACTGATGCAGATATCTTGCATTGGGTGAACAAAAAAAATCGAAGTATGGGGAGACCTTCCCGGATTGAGAATTTCAAGGTTGATAAAATAAAAGCTCTCCACTTTTTACCTCCTCCATAATCAGTTGATATATGTTTTTCCTAGTTGCTGACTTGATAATAATCTGGAAATAACTGTCAGGATAAGAGCATATCAAATGGGAGATTCTTCCTTGAGCTTCTAAGTTCTGTGGAACCAAGAGTAGTAAACTGGAATCTTGTCACGAAGGGTGAAAGTGGTAATGACCATTTCCCCTGCTATTCTGCACTTATTGTTAGTATTCTGCAATTATGTAAGTGTCACACTGACGTTTGGTTATCATCATCATCGTCTCCCCTCCTTCAATGCAACAGAGGACGAAAAAAGACTGAATGCTACATACATTATTAGCGTGGCCAGGAAGCTTGGTTGTTCCATTTTCTTGTTGCCAGAAGACATCATGGAGGTAACAGTTCTTTCTTTGTATAGTACGGTTATTACAAAGGAATCTCTTTTGTTTTCCAAATGTCAGTAGGGGAAGCCAAACTGATTTGAGTTTGGTTGCAGGTGAACCAGAAGATGATTCTGACGCTAGCGGCGAGCATCATGTACTGGAGCCTTCAAAAAGCAGTGGAAGAAGGGGAGTCGCTATCTCCGGCACCTTCCAGTTGCAACACATGTCATGCTACACCTGACGCATCCCCGGCGCCTTCGGTTTGTGGTGAAGATGAAACCTCTTCCATCACCGGCGATGTCTCAGGCTTGACCCCGACACCTTCAGTTTACGGTGAGGATGAAACCTCTTCCATCACCGGCGATGTCTCAAGCTTGACCCCGGCACCTTCAGTTTGTGGTGAAGATGAAAGCTCTTCCATCACCGGCGACGTCTCAAGCTTGACCATCGACGATGCAGCCTCAGACACTGCAGTTTCCTCATCACATCTTGACAAAGAAGAAATCACCTCTGCAGGAGGAGAGTGATCTCGACCCAAAAAATGTAAAGAGAAAAGAAACTCAAACTGAAGTCAAACGGGGTTTTGTGATATACAAGGCATATACATGTGCAGTAAAAAGAAGAAGAAAAGTGATGGAAGTCCATAATATCATCCTTCAGTCAGAATCTTAACTGTGAAAAAAAGTGAGATAAAAAAGAAAAGAAATGAACAGGGAGGGAAGCGTGGGGATGAAGAAAAGGAAACACCAATTTTGTAGTTGCATTTCATTTCTCATGAAATAATATGACAGAAACCAGCTTGGCTTCTTTTCATTTGCAAAGTAGGATTGTAATATGCATCATTCTTTGGACATGGTTGAACTTGTTGACAGAAACAAGTTTGGCTTCTTTTCATTTGCAGAATAGGATTGTAATATGCATCATTCTTTGGACATGATTGAACTTGTTGTCGTCAACATAATAAAATCGGAATTCTCCGGTTGCTTCGCTTACAAGAAACATCAATATAATGGTGAATTCCCAAGAGATAGTTACATGACTCATCCTCAAGGCTGTGATCTTTTACATTCTTTCCTTGCTTAGATCAATGGTTCTCTTTCTGTTGGATTTTCAATGTGTCGATGTAAGCCTTGCTGTCAAGCTGGCGGGAGAAGAGGCCATTGTAGAACTCTCTTATAGTCACCTTCTTGAACACAGCAGGCGTCTCTTCTGTGATCATGCTAGCAGCAAGACCGATTTCACCGTCGTACTTTGGAGAATGGAAGCAAGCAATTGACAGCATTTCCATTTCAGAATTCACCGTTGCACGATGCTTGATGCTACGGTATGCTCCACTGACACTGGTAATGATCTGCAAACAATTAAGTGTTCAGCACATACAGGAGAAAAAGAACTTCACACTATTCTGGATACCGTTTTCAGTATTTAAGTTTCTTTACCTCAGAATGCACTCCTTATTTTCTTCTTTTAGTCTGCTAATGGTGTCGATAGGTGAATCCAAAGTTGGCTCAAGAGGGCAATTTTTTGGCGACTGGTGTCAGGTCGATCACTGGTAGTAGTGCAGTGCAGTTCTATTTGGAAAGACCCACCAGGTGTTTCAAGGGCAGGACATAAATTATTTATAGTGCATTGGGTTCATTTAGGTCTAATCCAATACTGAGATCATATAATAATTGAGTCAAATTGTCCAACAAAACAATTGATTGTCATCCCTGGTAATGTATTATAAATAATATAGCGAAAATTTCTAATGTATGAAAGGGAATAATCAGCAATTTGACGGCAAAAGCAATAAGAAATACAATATGTAATAATATTTCCAGAACACCGGGAATCCGGGATATGTTTGATTGTGGCATCCCATGAATTTTACCCTAACATTATGCAAACCAAATAAACAGAAGTTCCATTTCTGCTGCTCATGTACAAATACAGCCAGTACTGACCTAGAAAAGAACAAGCAGCAAGCAAGCCCAAAAGAAGCGTTTCGTAGGGCATTTTCCAGAACTCATCAGATCCTCCAAGGTATCGAGGTAAGACTTCACCTGAAGCTCGCGAGAGAATAATCCATCAAGGAATTCCTTATCGATTACATTCCTGAACAATGGCAGAGTGTCTCCAGACACCAAGCTCGGTGCAGAGCCAATTTCCCTGATCAAACCTAAGACCTAGAATGGAAACAAGCAACCGACAGCATCTCCTTGTCCTAGTCCACTGTCGCCTGATGCTCGATGCTCTGGAGCACCCCATTGGTTATGATCTCAAGAATATCACCAACGTTGACCACAAACGCATTGGGAAGGAGCTTGACAGATACCCATTTCCTGTCATTCCTAATCTGCAAGCCTTCAACTCCCTTCCTGTCATTCCTAACCATGCACATATCGGCAAAAGGAGATGAGCTTCATCAACATAGCTAGAATACTGGGATATGATTCTGAGCTGCTCCGGACTCTACCAAACAATTTTCAAGTGCCCATAAGCTCCTTCAGTTTTTCCACTCCACTGCAGGACATAAGAAAATGACACATCAAAGATTAGCTACCATAGGCATATCTTCTGTAATTCTATGCCGTCACCAAACAAGCCTGCACCTAATATTAATCAAGCATCACAGTATTTGATATCATCTTCTAATCACCTCAGCCATCAAATAAAATGAGATTATCTCTCATAAAAACAGCAAGAAAGGAAAACCAAAACTGAAACAGATTACTGATCAGAAGACAGCACGTATCATCGAAGAAAACAATCCATCTCTCAGAAACAAATAAACATGGAAAACCAAAGCCGGAAGAGATTACTGAGCAGAACACAGCACATATCATCGAAGAAAACAATCTATTTATCAGAAACAACTAAATATGGAAAACCAACATACCTCCTGGGGAAGGAAGGTATTAGCTCTTCAACCACTTCAACAACTAAAGAATCAGCTGCTTGTTCCTTAGGAGAGGTCTTTCCTGCTTCTTGATTAACACATGAGAGCAAGAAGCTCCATAAGCCAAATATTCTATGCAATCACGACAAGGTTAGGAAATGCTAATTTGAAGCCATTTGGCTTGCCATTGCTGATATTAATCACAAAATGTTGCTATCCAAAGCTAGCAGAAGATCCGTAAAATACTCAGCACACAAGAATCTAACAGATAGGATGATAATTTCTAGGACCAATTACTCTGTTCCTAAATCACACCAAGAAGAGACAAATGTAAGTATGTCAATTTTGAGTAGAAAGAAAAATACCAGGTAACAGAGGTCACCAAAGTAGTCAAGGTTGACTTAAATACAACATCATAGTAGTTACAGCAACTTGCTTCTTTAACAACTTACAGAACCAAGATACAAATATTCTCAGATTACCCTTTCAAACAAAAAGGAAAACACTTCAATACCTGCATCCCGTTGATATGAATAGTTGCCTCTCAGATATCCATCTGTATAATCTAGATCAAGCCTGTCTTCTAATGTGAACTCTGCTAATAGAGCACCAATGAGATTGTAGGCTACTAAACTTGTCTCATCGGAAGCTTCTTGGACATCAAGGTACAAATTGTTACAAAGAGTCTGATTGCTAGGACCAGATTCTTCCCCTCTAGAGCAAAGGTTTAATTCGTGGAAACCTGATGCGTTTCTTAGACTATTTGCATTACTCTGATAAGATTCAGCAGCTTTCATATCACACTCGACTTTTAAAACCATGCTGAGAGAAGGGTTGCCAATCTTGCAGTCATTATGTGTACTAGGAAGACTCTGACCTTCCTGATCAGGGTTAGGTATGTCTAGCTCAACGTCTAAAGGTGTATATTCTGCAAAGCTCTCTTCATCGTTCTCTGAGTACATAGAACCAAATCTGAAACTTGGGGAGTCGAATTCTTGCTGCTTGGGAGACACATCACCACAATCATCATCTTCACTTCCACATGGCTCTTCCGTATATGCATCACCAAAATTCTCAGCAAGCCCATAGCCAGGAATTAAATCCCAAACAAGTTGCTTTATATCAGAACTTACACTTATGATAGATTCTGCCTCCTCTTCAATAACATGGGTCAACAAGTAGCCATCGGGTGAAACTCGAGAGCTCCTATTGATAAGATTTATAGCTTTCAGAAACCCCTTGGGAATGGAGTCAAACTCATTGCAGTCAAAAAGATACTCGGTGAATAATTTCTTCATTGCTGTTCGTAAAGACCGTGCTGGGATATTAGCACATGGATCCAACAGATGTTGCAAGGCTTGAAGCTCTGGCATTCTGACCTTCGTTTCCAGTAACCAAATAGCCTTTATGATTTCTGTCTGTAACAGTTCTATTTCTGGTGAAAATTTAATGAAGTCAGTCATGCAAGAACCAGGACATCTTTTCAGCTTTAGCGATAAACCCGCAACTGCTAGGGCCATGGTTAAAGGTTCCTGGAAGCTATGCCTTCCACTCCCAACAAGTTCTGATAGCATCTTCCTAATGGTTCTCTTAACCTTACAAATCAGGGTATCTCGACTCCAACCATGTCTCCTTTTCCGCAAACAAGGTAATTCTGCCGGTAACCCTCTTAGTTTCCTGCGCATAGCAAACAAGGCTTCAGTTGGCAAGTCCTTTAGTCTATCCAAAAATTTTATTGCAGCAACATTCCATTGAAAGTAATGTGAACATCACTCCTGCCTAATATTCTCTCGGTCAGTGAGAAGCTGACATAACTTGGTAAAAATTTCTACTTTGTCATCCTTGCTATTCAGATTCCTAAGAAATCCTGGAATAGATTTCTGGATAACATTTCTCATTTTTTTCCGAGTCTTTTCAAACTTCTGCACACCTTTTGTAAGGAACAGAGAGACAAGGTAAAGACCTTTACTGGTCAAAGAATCAAGACAAGACAACAAGATGCCTTCGATGTTGTTCACGTTGAGAAACTGACAAGTTGTTTTGACCTCTCTTTCAACATGGTGTACTCCAAATGCTTGTTCAACAAACGTTTTAACACTATCATAAAATACCTGTGTAAAAGAAATGAAAATTGTCAACCATGTTGTACCTGTTTACGAATCTACAAAAGCAATAGGAATAAAAACCATGACTGACATATAAGCAACCCTTATATCACCACTATTCATGGTCATTTAATTGGTCGAGACTCATAGGAAGCAGACTATGTTGCAGTGTGATTGTGTTTCACCTTTTAATAACTCTTGCAAACCAGTCTCTTAAGCGAACACAAGAGACCGTGTAATTTCGTCATCGAAATTCCAGAATCTAAATGCAATTTAGCATCCTGGTGAGCTGGGATGCTTTGAGCATCTATTGTGATTACTATGCACGGAAAAATCAAGATGGCTGAAACTAATTTATAATGGATAGGCTTTCAAGTTCACTACATAGTTGGTAAACCGAACAAATTATAGACTTCCAGATCAGATGAAACAGTCCTAGTGGTGAAGGCTTATGAAAGTGCATTTTTATATTAGAAGTAGACATTGTTGAAGGGAATAACTTACATCATCTTCCCTAAGCATAGACTCAGGCAGGCACCTGGAAAGATCGCAAGAACTATTGTTCAGTAAACACCAAACACAGCATCATGTATGGAGCCAGGGTATAAGCAAGTACTTACTCGTTATTTAAAAGTCTCTCCAGTTTAGATTTGACAATGGCGCTCCTATCAGCCACCTGCCCGGAAAGCATCACATGGTGAATATTACAAGAGTTAATTCCTTCAAAATAACTTGTGAAGACACAAACGCCATAGAAACTACAAGTGGTTAAAGAGCCAAGAATCTAAAATTCTTGGTAAAGAGAAAGACGTAGCTCTCCAAACACGGTGACATGCCAATGGAAAAAATGAAAAACTTCCCAAGACTTGCCAAAAGCTTCCTAGTTCCAATAGCCACAGTCCAATGCTTCATTCACAAGAGAGATAGAACAGAGGAAACAAGAAGATGAACAGTAAAGAGAGAAATTGGGCAACCTTCGCTTGAGCTTCAGCAGCCTGTCCTTTCGCTTAAGTTCTGCAACGATCAACTGCGAATCAGTGCGGAGAAAACTACCCGCCATGCTCGTTGAAATTCGCTCGTTTTCCACTGCGCAGCCGCCAAACGGGAGAGAAGCGCCTCTAAGTCTGGCGCTCTTCAAAGATGGCGGGGGAGACCCCGAGAGAGGAGAAAAGGGTTTAACTTTTTAAGACACGGCAAGACGAAGGGCGGAAGGGGGAAGGATTAGGGATTTAATTAAATGAAAGTTTCTCTTTTGGTACTCCAATTTTCCCGATTTTGCTAAAATGCTTCATTTATGAGAATGTGTTCATAAGGGAGCTCAATTCGTCGAATCATGGGTTATGTGATCCGCAATGATTAAAAACGAGGTGGCAAATTCGTAAATGCTCTGTTTAATACGCAACGCATACATATGAACGTACGTATTTTTTCGTATTACTATCAAATTGTTTTATGTTTCTCCGTTTATTTCACGACTCTCGTCAGATTCTTCTGTTTTCTGATGAACATTTACAAGTACAACCACAGCAAGCAAACCCAAAATAACACTTTACATGGAACCTTTTCCACACATCATCAGTCATCAGATTCTCAATGTATCGAGGTAAGACTTCCCCTGAAGCTCACGAGAGAACAGCCCCTTCAAGTACTCCTTAACACTCACATTCCTGAACAGTGCCGGCGACTCTCCGGTCACCAAGCTCGGTGCGGGGTAAATCTCCCCATCAAACCTAGGAGAGTGGAAACTAGCAATCGACAGCCTCTCCTTCTCCGAGTTCACCGTCGCACGATGCTCGATGCTGCGGTACACCCCATTCGTTATGATCTCAACGATGTCGCCCACATTGACCACAAACGCATTGGGAAGGACCTTGACCGGCACCCAACTCCCGTCTTTCTTGATCTGCAAGCCTTCAACTTCATTCACTTGTAAGAGGATCGTGAGGCCGGTGCTGTCGGAGTGAGGTGTCAGGCCGATCACTTTGTCAGGCTCCGGGCACGGAGGGTAGTAGTTGGTCCTCATTGCCTGCCTTATGTTCCCTGAGAAGATGTCCTTCATTTCCTCTGGTTTCATCTTTAGGGCTTTGGCCATTTGGTCCAGTACTTTGGCTGCCAGGTTCCTTACCTCGAGGGAGTAGTTCTCCAATGTGTCTCTGTCGAAAGAGACCAGAAAAATGTATGACATAGACATGTGAGTACTTCAATTCCTATCCTCTTAACAATGAAAATTGCAGGGGACTGATGTATGAGACCTGAATGGAAGGGGAAGCTTTGGGAGCAAGTGAGGCTTTCTAAGGTCGGGAGGCTGAGTGACGAGGAAGAAGAGGTCGGCCCAATCGAGCTTCTGCTCTTCCGATACAACGAATAAATGTCCGAAACCTTCCACATCTCCTGGAGATTGCCAGAATTTCTGCTTTTCCTCCATTGGCAGGTTGAAGAATTCCTGGACTTGGGTCTTCATGTTCTCCAACAGGGCAGGGCTCACTCCATGGTTTACCAACTGCACAATATAATCCATCAAAATTTCATCACAACAGTCTCCTGGAGGGTTTTCTTTCTCTTTTTACATTGGGGCAAATTCACTGAATTGGTAGAATGGATTTGATTATACAAATACAACCCTTCTCTACAATCACTTGTGGTGCTTTTATCAGTGATTCCAATTCTGGGTTTCCAAGAACAAAACCATGGGCAATCAGAAAAAAAGTTCTTCCACTACAGAACTTGAAGGAAAGAACCAAACTCAATCCCATATTCCATTCTTTGATCAGAAGCAAGTTCTAAAAAAATAAAAAAAATTGATCGAAGTGTGAAGGAGCGAAAGGGGTTTGGTGGAACCTGGAAAAAGCCCCAATCTTTACAGGCGGAGTGAAGGACGGCGAGCTCGGAATCCATGGTGGCTTCATCGATCAGCTTCTCCAAATCAACAATCGGAACATCGGCGTCGAAAACGATGGGTTGGTCTTGATCAGGGCGTAAGTATCTGGACGGGACGACGCCGAGTTGGGTCTTGATCAAGTCCTGGACGGAAGGCACGAGGAGGGAGCTGCCAAGGCTGACGGATTTCGCTGGTTCCATTCCGCTTCTTCAGAATTTCTGGTTGGTTTCGAGTTACGGGGATTTGGGTTTTGAAAATGGTCTGGTGGTAACTGGTACGCCATGATCGGAGTCTACAAGGTCAAGGTCTCGAATTTTTTTGTCCGGTTGTTGCAGACGGGTTGGCTAAATAACAAAACAGTATCATATACTAAGCCCTGTTCACTTCCATTTTCGTTTCCTGTTTTCTGTTTTCGTGTTACAAATTTGGGAAACGAAACGAGAAAACATGTTTACTTTTCATTCTGTTTTCTATTCGTTTCCAACTCTGAAAACAGAAAGTGGCAAATTCCTACTGTTTTCGAAAACGAAAAAATGTAGTTTTCACCTGTTTTCAACATCTGTTTTCTCAAAAACAGGAAACAAAAACGAAAGTAAACAGAAATGAAAGTAATAGTTCGACGAGAAAAACTCGCTTCAAAAGCGAAATTGATAGGTGGTATTTAATCGTTAAACCGCAATTACAACATAAAATATGCATCATTGACATAACTATATTAGGAGTCCGACTAACACAAGTACACAACGATTATATAATGTGATTCTCGAAGAACACGAGAAGTTGAAAACCTCCCGACTCCCATACACTCGTCGCCGTAACACATGTATGCTAGAGCCCAAAGCAATGCTGTAAACCCGGTATAGCCTGTTAGCCCGGTCGAGTAAGTGGATTGAGGGTTAGTGGTTCAATTGCTTTAGCCCGATTTAACTCCGATATATGAAATAAGTCATTATATTGATTCATACATTTATAAATTATATCAAATTTCTTATAACATATGCGTAATAACATATATAACATTACACCAAAATAACATGTCGTACTTGGATCCAACATATAGTAAAAATTCATACACTTATATAACAACATCAATATTCAATTTAGAATTCCAAATATAAGGTTAGACGAAAAGGAAAACAAAAAAATACGCGCATTTCGCAAACTAAAGGAAAAAAATCGATATGGTGTGACATGACTTCCAACCAGATAACCTAGCAACGGGTTTACCCGATGAGTGTGTGCGCGACCCATTTTTTCTCACTGAACCAGTATCAAATTGGTCAACCGACGAGACGGCAACGTTGGCCCAAAGGTTACCAACAAACCCGAGAAAAAGCTCCGAGACTCCTCGGGCCGAAAGAAAGCGAGCTCATAAAGGCAGGGAGGCCTGAGAAGGATGGCCCAAGAATCAAAAGGCCCAGTTGCGAAAGAAACAGGCACGCTGGTCTGGTCTGCTTCTGGCCTTTTTTTGCTTTATCGGTTGCTTGGCTTAATGGCTTCCATTTCCATCTTCCTCTCGCAGAAAGAAAGACAAATAAATATGTACACAGTAGAACCAAGAAATATAAACCTGCAAAATCCAACACAAAACGGAGCCATCGAACAACCATAAAAAAAGTGCCAGAGCGAGGGAGAATCAGGGAAGAGAGAGAGAGAGAGAGAGAGATTGAGGAGAGAGAGCGGACTCAGAAGAAGGAAAAAAAGTGGAGAAAATTTGACAAATTACACACAGAAGAAAACGAACACAAAAAAACGAAGTCGATTGCTCCGCCACCGCCTCCTCCTCCTCCTCCGCCGCCCTCGATCTTCGCCGGCGCCTGAGGTCCGTTTTCCTGCTTCTCTTCCCTTCCTCCCCCCCCCCCAAAACCACCAAAAAATTTCGTACTTCTTCTTCTTCTTCTTCTTCTTCTCCTCGTTCAACTAGTTTATTCGAACTTTATCCTGAATGTCAAGCCCTATTTCGCGTCTTTCCATTTATCTACTTCCTCCCCTCCCGCCCCATGGTTCCCAGCAGCTGATATAGCCTCTCCAGCTCCTTTTCTCACTGATTCTTATCGTCATCTATCAGTAGAGCATGCACGAGTTTCTCGTTCGCTTTGTTAGCGGCGGGCGTTTATGTAAAGCCGCGCTCAATTTTGAATGCCGCGCCCTATTTGGTTACTGAATCGGGTCACTGTAGGAGCCCTAATTCGGCTGCCAAATTTTTGCTGCCCATCTCACCCTTCCCTTTTAGTTTTAGTTTATCTGTTTGACCTCGAGCTCTCTATTTGTAATTCTTTGGAGTTTTGATTGTTTTTGGCGTTGTTAAAGTGAAAGACGTTTTGGGGCTAGTGAAAGAGTTTTCAATTTGATGCATTCGTTTCTTCCGTTACCCGTGCTTTAACAGGCAATTTGATGGTTGAATGGTAGTTGTGGATTCTTGGATATGGGTTTTGAGTTTTTGAACTTTTGTGGGATATTGATTTAGTATCTGTGCAAATACAGCTCGAATCTGGGTGGTGATGGCTGTTCAAGCACCTGCGAGGCCAGTCATGGATGATATGGATGATGATGATGCCCCATTAGTTTTTAGGAGGGGTGGCAACTCAGCATCTAGGCAAAGCCAATTAAATGCTGAAGCTAAGAAGATGTCGTCTTCATCTCAAAATGCCAATGGCCAAAGCTCAAATGGGCAGAGGAATAAAGCTCCAGTTGCTTCTTCCAGGTCACCCCCGGTTAAGTCTCCCATAGGGAGCCCTAGAGCCTCAACTTCTTCTTCTATAAAGGCTTCTCCATTGCGGTCTCCTGTAACAAATTCTAAATCGCCAATGTCCTCGGAGACAAGGCAAATGCCTAAGCAGAATGCTTCGCCTGCTGTCAAGGTGGAGGTTAAGTCTGTCAAATCTGAGAACAAGGCTCAGGTCGATGATGAGGATTCTGAGGATGATAAGCCCTTGAATTTCAGATTGAAGGGAGCTGCCAACAATGCTAAGAAAGAAGTTGGTGGTCCCAGTCATGTGAAAAAGGAAGACTCTGATGATGATGATGATCTCCCTTTGGCCTCAAGGATGTCAGCTAAACCTAACCATTCGAGTGAAAAGAAACCTTTAGCATCAAAACTTCAGCAGAATGGCAGCTCAACTTCGAATGTGAACAAGATGAAAACTCCGGTTGTGCCAAACAAGAGGCCTATGGAGAAGAGTAGTTCTTCTCAACAATCCTCTGTAAAAAAGCCAAAGCTTTCTGTTCCGTCTTCCACCACACAAGTCAAACCTACGACAGTTAAAGCAGAGGTGAAGGCTGACGATGATGACGATCTTCCGATCTCCCACAGGATCAAGAAGGCAACGATGTCAGAAAGAAAACCATCGTCTGCAAACCCAAAAGCAACCAAAGTGGTCTCTTCTTCGTTCAAGAAGGCCAATATGAAGAACGCAAAACAAATGAAAAATTCGAAGTTTATCAAGTCAACAAAAGTTACCCCCGGTTCTACTGATGGCCAGAGAAAATGGACTACCTTGGTTCACAACGGTGTAATTTTTCCTCCTCCATACCAGCCTCATGGTATTAAGATACTTTACAAGGGGAAGCCAGTTGATTTAACTCCAGAACAAGAAGAGGTGCCTCTCACTTTTTGTCTACATCTTTATAAATTTTGAGCTTTCCTTATTTGTAGTGTGTGCTGTTAGTTTCACATTGAGCTTTCATATGTGCAGGTTGCCACTATGTTTGCGGTGATGAAAGATACCGACTACATGCAAAAACCAAAGTTCCTTGATAACTTCTGGAATGATTGGCGTAGGATACTAGGGAGGAACCATGTAATACAGAAGTTGGATGATTGTGATTTTTCACCAATATATGATTGGCATCAGCAGGAGAAAGAGAAGAAAAAACAAATGAGTACAGAAGTAAGTTGTTTGGTTGTCAAGAACTCTATTCGCAGTAAGATATCAACTGAAACACACAGACATTTTCTGACATTGACAAATCTAATATTCTAACTGTGGTCTGTGAGCTAATAAAACTTCTCTTCTTTTGTCCATCAAGTTCCGAATTTGTAGGGTCATTTTTTTTTGTTTTTCTCTGCTGCTTCTCATAGTGCATGGCCGCTTTCCTCAAACAAGCAAGGATTTGGTTAGTGGTTTGCTAATTGCACCATGTGAAGATCCAAACTTCACTTTGCCGCAGCTTCAATGAGACAAGACCATTGTGATTGCCTTTAGTTCATGCATAGGAATCTGGCCTCCTACACCCTTCCTTTTATAGGACAATGAGTTGCTTTTCATCTTACGTTTTGGTTGCTTTGATGTTTGGTATTAATGTCTGCAGCCCGCTTCTGCCAGGTCCTCTTGACTGTTAATATTTCCCTTTGTGTTACCACTGATGCTAAAAAGTTTTGCTACTTGTGTAGGAGAAGAAGGCAGTCAAAGAACAAAAATTGCAGCAAGAGGAGAAGTATATGTGGGCTATAGTGGACGGTGTTAAGGAAAAAGTAAACAATTTCACGAACTTAGTTTTTATTGTCTTAATTTTGAATTTGCCAATTCTTTCATGTATTTCATGATTCTGATCATTGTGAAATCTCAGGTTGGGAACTTTAGAGTCGAGCCACCTGGTTTGTTTCGAGGCCGTGGAGAGCATCCTAAGGTTATTTGTTGATACCTATAGTGTGAATTGAGATTCGTAGAGGCATTACCATATATCTGCTGGCTGAAATGCATATTTACTTCAAATCCATCGTGTAATTTTCAGATGGGAAAGCTCAAGAGACGCATCCGACCTAGGGATATCACCATAAACATAGGGAAGGATGCTCCTGTTCCAGAATGTCCAATTGCTGGTGAAAGGTTAGCTTCTCCCATAGTCAGTTACAAGCTGAGTTTTCTTGTCGGTTGGGTGGCTGCGTTTGCACTTGGCAGTACGTGCCGAAGTATGGGCTCAAAATGTTTACTTATATTCAAATTTAAACTGGCAGCTGGAAAGAGATAAAACATGATAACACCGTTACATGGTTGGCTTTCTGGAATGATCCTATCAACCCCAAAGAATTCAAGTATGTGTTCTTGGCAGCCAGCAGTTCGTTAAAAGGGCAAAGTGACAAGGAGAAATATGAGAAGGCTAGGATGCTGAAGGTGTGGTCATACTTGTCTTATATATTCACCTGCTTGCATCTTACAATAGTATGATATTTGAAGCACCGAATCTTAACTGTATATTGGTGCAGGACTACATACACAACATCAGGGCAGCTTACACGAGGGATTTCAATAGTAAGGATATAGTAAAACAACAAATAGCAGTTGCGACCTATCTTATTGATAAGCTAGCTCTAAGGGCGGGTAATGAGAAGGTAAATTGAGTAGCTTCTTTCCAAACATCCTCATCTATTTTCTCTCTTCTTTCTTCGTTTTCCCCTTAATCTCCTGTATTCCAGGTACGACTTCTGGAATCTGTATAAGCGATTAATATGGCATATAATGTGCCCAATCTACGCAAATGTTACTTTGTTTCTGCTGCCGTTTATCATCCTAAGTGCATGTAATGGGAAGATTGATGACTTCGCAACGATTGGTTCCAATGTGGCCTTAGTAAAAGGCTGAAAGGCCATAGAGATGCTGGCAAATGGCCACATGGATCTTGACTATCTCATGCTTAGAGGGTAGGCTGATAAATCAGATCTGGCACATTTATCAGACAACAGTTCAAGCACCTGGGGAGTTTGATGTTCTTAATACTGTTGGCAGAATAAGTGCCCTGGGAGTTGTCTTTCCTTTATCTTGTTCCCTAATGCGACCGCCTTTTGTTTCTTCATGTCGCATTTAAGAATGACGCCTGATGGTGTTTATGTTTAGTTGGGTGCTTCCATATTGTAGAACCTTGAACAGTCTTTTACCTTAATAGCCTTTAAATACCATCTCTGTTGAAAATCTAGAATGAATTTATGCCAAATGACTGACCTTCTGCAGGATGGTGAAGAAGAAGCTGATACTGTCGGTTGCTGTACATTAAAAGTATCCAACGTAGAGTGCATCCCTCCCAATATGATAAAGGTGCAGCAGAGCGAATATAAGATTTTGTTGTTATGCTTTATATTTTGACTTTCGAGTTGAGCTGAGTCAAAACGATATTCATGAATGATATACTTTTCCTTGTTCGTGCTAGAAGCTTCATTCATATCTTTTCAGTACTGCAAGCCACAAAGTTAACAAATCCCATTAACTGTGAATGAATTGTTTTGTTATGTTTTTGCGTGAGCTCAACTATGCGATGTTTTCATGTGCCCCTTTTTAGCTAGTAGTGATTGTGACGTGGGGGTGTTTTCCATCTTATGTAGTTTGACTTTCTTGGTAAAGATTCAATTCGTTATGAGAACACGGTTGAAGTTGAGCTTCCTGTGTTCAAAGCAATTGGGAAGTTCCAAGCTGGTAAGAATATAGTTGTCCACTTTGACTGTAGTTAAGTGGAATATCATTTTGTTGTAATGTGATTTATTATTCCTTTACCCCAGGAAAAGGGGAAAATGATCTCCTTTTCGACGAGCTGGATACAAGTAAACTGAATGCCCACTTGAAGGAACTCATGCCTGGGCTTACAGCAAAAGTGTTCCGTACCTATAATGCTTCAATCACATTGGATCAACAAGTAAGTTGCATTACAAGTTATGTAATATCTTATTCATTGATCTCTTAGCTTATTCTATTGGATTGGTTGATCAACTCGGATATTATTTTTATGTATATCTTATGACACTCAAATATACAATTTTGCACTGATGAAGTTTTAGCAACTACATCAGATGTTTTTTATTCAATCACGGAATTAATTTATTTTCTGGGTTCTCTAATCTGGACAGTTGTATGAAGAAACAGAAGATGGTGATGTTGCAGAGAAGGTTGTTGTTTATCAAAAAGCAAACAAGCAGGTAATGCAAGTTGGAATCATCTGTAATTGTGTTCAGTTATCCCAATTGTCTTTCTGTAATTTCTCTGTTTTCTTGCAGGTAGCAATCATCTGCAATCATCAGCGTACTGTCTCAAAGACTCACGATTCGCAAATGTTGAGGTTGACTGAGAGGATTGAGACTGCCAAGGTAGTTCATGCTTGTGGAGACCCAGCTGACAATAAATTTAAGTGTCTTTGTTGACATTTGACAACACACCCTGTATATGTTCTGGAGGGTTTGTGAGTTCCACGCATTGGTTTCTATCCCCTCTTTCTGTCTTTGTGAGCTGATTTCACAATAATGACTTTGCAGCAAGAACTGAAAGAGCTGAAAGTTGATTTGGAGAGGGCCAAGAAGGGAAAGTCACCTCTCAAGGGAGCAGATGGAAAGCAAAAGAGGAACTTGAGTCCCGAAGCGTAATTATCAGCCATCCTTTGATTGATTGATTGATTGGTTGTCTTCCACTGTTTGTTGAGCTGTTGGCTAACTGACACTTCCTTTGTGTGGCAGCATAGCGAAAAAGATAGCATCTGCCAACCAAAAGATTGAGAAGTACGAAATGGATATGACGACAAAAGAGGATCTGAAAACAGTGGCACTCGGCACCTCCAAAATCAACTACCTGGATCCTAGGATCACAGTTGCATGGTGCAAGAGGCATGAAGTTCCCATTGAGAAGGTAAATTCCGAAACCTGACCCTGAACAGTGAGGTTGAAGGTCAAAAAGCCTTTGGTGTGTGAATGAGAATGTGATGAAAACTTCATTCGCCATTGCTGCAGATATTCAACAAGTCGCTTCTGGCAAAGTTTGCCTGGGCAATGGATGTTGAACCCCAGTTCAGATTCTGATGGAAGGGAAAATCTGGGAAGTGGTGCTCACACAACCCTCCCACTTTCAAAAAGAGCAGCATAAAATTGAAAAATTACCCAGAAAATGAAACAAGGAGAAGAAGAGAAAGGACCAATCAATCCAGCTTCTTTTGATGATCCATTACAGCTTTTCAATTCACAATTTTTTTAATCAATTTCTTTTCTTTTTTTGGATCTTCCAGTTTTAACTCTGAGCTGCTGGGAAAGTCGATGCTGTATGTTCAACGATCTAATCTAATCATCGAGTACTTGCTTACATATTTGCTGCCATTGTCCCTGCCCACTTCTTGCTTCCCTTTTCTTCATCACCAATTCCATGAATTGGATGCCTGTCTTGTAGCAGCAAGTAACCCTTTCTTCTTCTTCCAGAGTTTGATGTAAAGGAATGGCCGGAATGAAAGACTATGAAATAGATGCTGCTAAACTGCAGAGGAATTCTGATGAATGCTTGATTATGTATTTTATGACGACATTGTAACCATAGTCTCTGTCTCAGATTTACTAACAATTTATAGACAGGAAAATCAAAGCCGCCTGCCAAACTAGCATGATGCACCAGTGTGTCTTTCTCGTCACCAAATGGACACAACTATTTCTAACACGAAACTAAGGAACTTTGCTAAAAAGTGATCGATTTACGAACATAGAATATCAATCATACCTGATGCACATTATCCGTCACGCCTAGTCATGCTTTCTCTCTTACCATATGCAACACATCCCACCATGGTTGTCATGCCGGTGGCATGCCACCCGGTTCAACCTGGTTCAACCTGTGCCGGTCATGAAACCGGCATGACCGGTATGATCGACTTACACATTCTAAGTAAAATGACATCATTTTAATGAATTTAATGAATAAAAAAATTAATTTATTATTCATTTTATGAATGTAATAGTTAAAAGTTGATGATATTTGTTGGATTGTAACTAAATTGTCCACAAATATGTTTTATATATGATTAGATACATTGGATATTAATTGTTTTCACATTTTTTTAAACCGGCATGAACCGGCATAAACTGGTTATACCACTGGTCGTACCATTCCACTTGCCAAATCGGCACAACGGTATAAACCGGTTTGACAACCTTGCATCCCACCATGAAAATCCATCACCAATCTTCCATTTTTCAAAAGTTCCAAACACTAAACCACCCTTGGAGTTTTATTGGGCTTGGGCTGATTCATATCAATGAGTTACTGGTGGGCCTTTCCTGAAATAATGAAGCCATGTGTAGGCCCAAGCTTCTTATCATCCGAAATCAAGTCGAACCGATGGTCGGAAGGAAGAGGAGTAAACTTGGTCACTTGGATCTTGTTCTTGCCACAGGAAGAGAACCAGACGTTAACGAACAGATCAAGCAGCAGCAACAGATTCGCCAATTCCAGGTACAGCTTTCTCACTATCGTTGCAATTTGCCCTTCTGCATCTTTTCTCGGCGAAACCAAACGGGATTGGCCTGACCTCCTCTTCTCAATCTCTCGGCCAATTTTAGTCTGGCGCCCGTTGCGATCGCGAAAGGTCTCTACTTTGAGCCTATTTAACACCTCGTGGTTGGTTTTTCAGGAATTGCGATCGAATTCACAGCCACGTAGAGATGGGGTTTCTGGTAACCACGCTGATTTTCGTAGTGGTGGGGATAATCGCATCGCTCTGCACCAGAATCTGCTGTAACAGAGGACCCTCCACCAATTTGTATGCTTTCCTCCCTTTTGCTGACTTGTTATGCCCAGTATTTCCTGCCTGGGTTAGGATTGTGGATCCTGCGGTGTAGCTCTCTTCATTGATCAAGTAAATTGTTGTTTGTGTTGGGATTTGGGAGAGGGAGTATTTGAATTTAGATCCATTTGGGAAGTGTTGAGTATGCATTGTCATGTAATTCAAGGTGCCCCAAGTAAGTCTGGTACAGGAAGGGCTTCTGTTTTGGTCTTGGTGGATGTCTTTGTTTTGTCCTAGGAACTAACAAGTGCCTGCCTTGTGTAGTAATACAGCTGTGTATCTGATTTGTGTATTGTTCTACTACCAGCAGTGAAGCAAAGCTATGTGTTTGCTAGTTTTACTTCCTGCCTTCAGGAGCATTTTACATGCTCGCTACTTCGTCCATCATGTTCAGTGTTGCTACGAGTGGCGTTGCATGTTTACTCATTTTCCATTTTTGCATTCCTTTTTGGTAGTTTGCTCATTTGATAGTCATCGTCACTGATTGTTAGATATATGGTCTTGTTGCCTGAGTTATATAGATGCAGATTCCTAGATTGGTGTTACTCTTGCCATTAATGTCTGCACCCCTGTTCATGATAGGTCCACGTGTATTTTGCCATCTTGATAGATATTTTGTGTAGTGTGAACTTTCTCTTTGCGTACTAGCAATCTCTTATGAATTTGCTTACATTTGTTTTCAAATTTTACCAGGAAAGTTAAGTTACTACTCGAATGATCTTGTGATGTAGTGGATTCTCTTGGTCATCTCTTTGTACAACATACCATACCTTTTATTCTCAAGTTCAATATAGCTAACCTTGGTCTTCTGCTCCAGATTGCATTTGACATTGGTTATAACAGCAACAGTTAGCTGCTGGATGATGTAAGTTCTGTTTCTACTTTATTCCTTCAATTCATTTGATTTCAACTGTATTTCTTTTGTCTTTCCTCAACAAAGGTGGTTGGATAACTTGCACGCGGCTTTTGTTTCCTCAAGCTGCATCCATGTGTCCGTCTTTAGGATATAAGATGATATATATTAGAGAGTATTCTAGAACCCTATTGCTGAATCATGATCCAGACTGCAAATTATGCGCATTTACGGGGTTCTAGTTATTATCTCACCTTCGACCACAGTTTAGATCCTATACAACCCCATGAAATACTGTTTGAGAACATGGGGGGATATCACTTGAAGCTGACAACATGCAGAGCCAGATACAAGTTTGTAGTGAAACCTGTACCATACTCCCGCTGATAAGTAGTTAGCAGAAACCAAATTCAGCAACTATGTAGTTCTTGTGGTCTCCTGCTTCTTCCAATTAAGAAATTAGCTTTCAGTATATATTATATAAGTTTACTGGGTCATTAGTGTCTCAGCAAGAGCAAAATGAGTTTGCAGGTAGTAAGATCTAGCTGCTCTATGGCAAGCGGATTAAAAGGACCACCACTTGGGTTTCTCAATCATGGTAATCATGGAACTGTATTTAATGTAGAAGGTAGTGGTATCTACACACGAGTATTGGAAATGTCAATGGTGACCTGGGTGCTATTCGATGATATTAAGTCAAGTATCACCTAAGACATTATACTGGTGCTTTCATGTCTCTTTGCCTGATACTGTACCCTGTTGTTTGCCAAATTCCTGCGCCAACTTGGTCATGAGTTATCATGGTTAATGACCCTTTTTAAATTTTCTTCTGAAAGTTTGCTTATTCTGCTGTTAAGTTTTTTGGCTGAACTTCTTACCAAAAGAAAGGTTTCCTGGCTGAACTCATGATGTTCCTTCACACGATATCAACCTCACTGCACTGCTGTCTGTTTTATGGGCAGGTGGGCTATTGTATATCTTGCACAGATGAAACCGCTCATCGTCCCAATCCTAAGCGAAGGGGAGTAGAAACACCCACGCAGATGAAGAAGCCAGCCAGCCGAGGATGTTATTCGATTATTATATGTGCAGTCTGTGGCCGGAGCGACATCTGAGTTTAGGGTTGGCCTTTCAAGGATCGTTTGCTGTCTCCATATTTTGGGATCTGTGTGTAGTTTGTTATCACTATGTAACTTGGAACTGGTTCTTTGGTGGTTCTGTCTTCTCATTCAAATTCTTAAAAGGGACATGTAGCACGTAAACAAAACGATTCTATCAGACAAATATGAGCCTAGAGATGAATTTTGGGGTTCAATAATGAAATACTGCCCAGAAAGATGAATTCTTGCAAGATCAGTTCTTTCACCTGGTTTACGATCCAGAGTTCTCTTCCATTGTTAACTTTTCATAGGTGGTGTTTGTTGTTTTCCGTTGGCTCGACCAATCATGGATTGAGCTCTCCAATACTTTTTGTTTGAACAAAACCTTCCTACTGCTGGCCACAGAAAGCAGAAGCTCTAAATCGGAGCTTTCACTTACAGATCGCAGAAAGATCTGCAGCAAATAACGGCGTCGTATTAAGCCAAGGGCAAACTGGTTGGGTCCCTCCCAATTAGGGATGGCAATGGGTCGGGTTTTGCCAAACCCAAACCCAAACCCATGGGTTTATCTTTGAAAAAAACCCGGGGTAAAACCCACTGGGTTTGAAAAACTCAAACCCAACCCAACCCGTTGGGTATCCGCGGGTTCATGGGTACCCACGGGTTTTGTCGTAAAAAATTTATAATTACAAGTTCTTATCAAAATTAAAGTCAAATATCAATCTCTCAATACAAATTATCCATATATAAAACACCATTCTAGAAAATTCAAGCAAATCACAAATTAACTATACAAATTGTTCAACACCAATCTAGAAAACTCAAAAAAATTGAAGCAAATCACAAATTTTCCATAAATAACATGTTTAATTGAAAGCTTCTTTCTTTCAATTAAGTTTATTTACTCTCCACTCCATAACATCAACTTCATTCTACACAATTAAAAAGAAGAAATTAGACATGTCTCCACAAACATAAATAAAATTAGTTGTTGAGAATATTAAATATACCAAAAAAATCAATTATATGGGTGGACGGGTACCCACGGGCCGGATTTACCTAAACCCAAACCCAACCCAACCCGTTGAATAGTGAACGGGTTTAAACCCAAACCCGGCCCAAAACCCGTCAACACGGATTTTACCCGCGTTGACCGGGTTGGGTCGGGCGGGTACCCGTGGGTTCGGGTTTTGTTGCCATCCCTACTCCCAATCTCTATGAGAGACAATATCGGATGTTTACAACCAGAAAGTGACGGGAAAATGGAAGAAATGAAAGAAATTGTTTTTGAGAAAATTCGACTCGAGTTTGTTGAAGTGTAAGCGTATCTCGTAAAACCCTAAAAACCTCTGTTCTCCATCAAGTCTCCCTCACTCAACGCCACAAGCACGTACACAACCAGAGAAATGGCGACACTGCAGTTCCAGCTGCAGCTGGCGAAACCCAACACCTCTTCTTCGTCCTTCTCCGCCGTGTGCCTGCCTCAGCAGAGGCTCTGTTCTGCGCATAGGAGTAAGCGGAGGGGAAGTACTACGTTCAGGTCATGGAGTTCGAGATATGGGAATGTGAGCTGCTCATTTTCTCAAATGGACAATGCCAAGATAAAGGTAGTGGGCGTCGGCGGTGGCGGCAACAATGCTGTGAATCGCATGATTGGCAGCGGCTTGCAGGTAACTCAGCTTCTCAATTTTGGTCCTAGTTTACACTTTTCCCTCTGCTTCAAATGAACTTAAACGTTGACTAGACTCTTGGGTTTGCTTTTTCTCTCCTTGGGGTTAATTGTGTTGGTGGGTAGTTTTCTCATATGGCTCGTTATGGGAATTCGGATTTTGCTTCGCTTCATGTGATGTATCGTTTTGGATAGTACAATTGTGCATTGCTCCGCAACACTTAGCAAGGTTCTTTTCCAATGAATGTAGTTTTGAGACGTGACGACGATTATTGATGAAGCTTTTGTTTTGAATTCAGGGGGTCGATTTCTATGCTATAAACACAGATTCTCAGGCGCTGTTGCAATCTGCAGCCGAGAACCCAATCCAAATTGGAGAACTTTTGACTCGTGGACTAGGTTCGACACTTGCTATTATATGTATATGGATAACTACGTTGTCTTCATGATTTTGTTTGCTTCTTTGAGTTGATTCATTGCTGGAGGTGCTTGCAGGTACTGGTGGGAATCCCCTCTTGGGAGAGCAGGCTGCTGAGGAGTCGAAAGAAGCTATAGCCGATGCTCTGAAGGGGTCCGACCTTGTGTTCATAACTGCTGGTATGGGTGGTGGCACAGGATCTGGTGCTGCTCCTGTTGTAGCTCAGATATCAAGGGACGCAGGTTATCTCACTGTTGGTGTTGTTACATACCCCTTTAGCTTTGAAGGGCGGAAAAGATCTCTGCAGGCAAGTTCTATTTCTTTATTTCTGCTTTTACCATCTTGATGAAGTCTGTCAGATTGTTGGGCGATGGATTTATGCTTCCTTCCTGTTTTAATGCACTTGTAGTTGCAATGTGGAATTTGCACTTGCAGGCAGTGGAAGCTCTAGAAAAATTACAGAAGAATGTTGATACTCTGATAGTGATACCGAACGACCGCTTGCTTGACTTAGCTGATGAGCAGACTGCACTTCAGGATGCTTTCCTTCTTGCTGATGATGTCTTACGCCAAGGCGTTCAAGGAATCTCTGATATTATCACAGTGAGTTTTTTTTTTATATCCCAAGGCCTTTTATCAAGAAAGAGATAATAGGTAACAGAAAAAGTTTATTTCTTGGATTGTAGTCGTATTCAATTGTTGGGTTGGAAACTAGAAACATGAACGATAGAAAGGCCCATTGCCTTTGGATCTAACATCTAGTTGTTCACATCTTTCACACTGTTGGACCAGTATAAGTAGAGCACCCGAGTTATTGAACATTCAACACAGGCCATGTTCGTCTCTAATTTCTGTATGGATATTATGGGATTAGTGGTTTAAAGTTTAAACTATTCTACTGCATGAAGTACAGTCGATAGTCTATCTAGAGCCAATAATTTTGTACCCATTATGTCTTAGGAACCCTGTGATTTACGACTACAGCTGATGGTGTCCTCGGTAATGATTTGATGGAGGGCCTCTAAACAGCAAGTTAAAGGTTTCCCTATTTTATCCTGTTCTTGCAGATACCTGGGCTGGTGAATGTTGACTTTGCTGATGTAAAGGCCGTGATGAAAAATTCTGGTACTGCAATGCTTGGAGTTGGGGCTTCCTCAGGGAAAAACAGAGCAGAAGCAGCAGCTGAGCAAGCAACTTTGGCGCCACTATTGGGATCGTCCATCCAATCAGCTACCGGAGTTGTTTACAACATAACTGGAGGGAAGGACATAACACTACAAGAAGTGAACAGAGTGTCCCAGGTACGCACCCCTCTTTGCTGCTGTTTCCGCTTCAATTAGTGGTTTTTGACTTTTTGCTCATATCTCAACTCTGGATTTCACAGGTGGTAACAAGTTTGGCCGATCCATCCGCAAACATAATATTTGGTGCAGTGGTCGACGAACGTTTCAATGGAGAGATTCATGTGACCATCATTGCAACTGGTTTCTCACAGTCGTTTCAGAAGACACTTCTAACAGATCCTAAGGCAGCCAAACTTCTTGACAAGATGGCAGCAGGGAGCCAAGAAACTAGCAAAGAAAGCCCTCTTCCTCTCAAAGCTACTGCTGCTGCAACTTCCACCACGCCTTCTCCGAGAAAGCTCTTCTTTTGATCCCTTTTCTAGCCATTTTGTTCCCCTCCTTTGGTTTATTCTTAAGATGGAGAGGTTTCCTCCTGCAATGTTGCTGTGTATTGATTGTGAAGCTCCTCGAGTTGTAAAATTATAATCTCTATTCCTATGCTTTTAGTTACTTAATTGAAGCTCTGGCAAATAAAATATAACATCCATATGGAGATGAAAATGGGTTAAAAGAGGAGGTTAAGAAACACCATGAAATCATTAGCTTTATAGGGCTTGTATTGTATACTGTGCACTCAACACCATTATTGACTTCTGATCTTCAATTCAAAATTTCTATTACACATTTCCAGTACACCTGTGACATTGTAAATTGGTCATTCTGTTTCAGACGACGATTAATTTACATAAAAATTCCACTAAAGAATCACAAGAAAAAGGACAACTCAGGTTTGGGGGTGAAAGAGAACATTCTTTCACCAAAGAGCTCAAAGAGTGAAGCCAGCAAATTGCCGGCACTCACATCGTCCTTCCATGCTTGAGCAAGGACGAGGGATGATGTTTTTGCTCCAGCATCCCTCACGGCTCCTGCCATATTCTCACCCAGAACCGGTAACTGTCGAGAAATTGACGTTACACCGCCCATCATCCCTGAGGCCACTAGCGATGGGGGGAATCTGCCGCCTTGCATGGGATTCATTGACATCATCCCCACTGCACCAGCCTCAGTGGTCATTTTCTTGAGTGGTGGTTGCTGCTGCATCAAGCTGTCACTGCTTGCCTTGCGTTTGTCTTTGGGTTTATTGACATGCATCACACGAGACATAATCAGGCAAAAGATTTAGGCCGGAGTAAGGAAAACGTTTCTCTTAGTTTTACTGCAATGGTATAAATATTGTGTAAGAGAATGTAGGATGCTGCAGTGCACATTGAATACATACTTGCCATTCCTGTCACGATCTTGCCATTGCTCTTCAAGATTGGTCGAGCTGGCGGAGTCAGTAAACCGGGCAGGATCTTAAGACGATCATGCAAGCACAAACCCGCTGCACGCTGAATGGTTTTGTTTATAGCGAGGTTATCAGGATGCCAAAATCCTGTGCATTTGCAAAAACCAATAACAGATATTGAACAGAATGAGGGACTCACCATCAATGCACCATATACACGCCAAGCTTCATACCTCTTCACCTCATTCTTTTGCTTCTCAAGTTGCATGTCAGGTTCAACAAGCAACAAATATGGCTCTAGGTTTGGTAGTATAAGCAGTCGAACCTACATAGAGAGAAGAACCCATTAAAAACTCATAGAGCCATGACAGATCATAACAGAAGAGGTAAAATTACATCAACCTGAGTAAAAGAAACTAGATACACGACTATGAAAAGGACTAGGCAGTGACTTCTCTAAATCAATAGTAGCTGTGAAGACAAATTATAATTAAAGGAAAGGGAGAGAAACAGTAAAAAATTTATACCACACTGGGTCCAAGAGCTGCTAGTCCTTGTATTGCACCATAATGTTGAGTCAAGGACTTTGTTGGGTCGAGGAATGCATGAACCAGGGTCCTTGTGATACGTGGTTGGAGATTGTGATAAAGATGCCCAAATCTAACAAAAAAAGCATCAGCTAGTAAGATAAATCAAAAGAATCCATGAAAAATCACAGAAAGGAGACCTAAAGAGATAACCACAAAGCAAAAAGGAACTGGTGGGTTAAAGCGCTATGGAAAAATCATATTGGGGTGCACATTCTTTATTAGCAATCAATTAAAAAGCCGAACTTGACTTAAATAAAATGCATGTCCTGCAGCTGCCTTACGTTTTGCATATTGAACCAATAAGATTGGCTGTGAAATTCCTTAACTCCCAGTGATTGTCTGTTAATCTGTGTCCCAATCTTCTGGCAACCAAGCAGGTAAAAATAGATGGCAGGAGTTGGTGTAGCTGGGAAAAGACAAGCCATGTTAGTAGAGTAGGAAAATGGAAAACAACCTTCAGGTCATTAAAATCTTCACCACATATCAACAGAAGGCAATAGCTAATACAAAAGAAGTTCATGGTATAATTACATAAGGTTCTATATGAATGTGGGAGTTCTGGGTCAGACTTCGGGTAACGCGCATCAGTGCAAACAAAAGAGAGAAGTTATTTAAATTCCTCGCAACCTGACATGGCCATTGCAAAGAATATACAGCTTAGCATATATTCCAAATAAGACAAGTGTCAAGTTTAAAAGGTATCAATGGCTTAAAATCAAGAAACACATTCACCTCATCGGCAATAAAGTGTGTGAAATAAGGCACTAAAGCATGCAGTCCTGAGTCTGTTGCCAAGCTCAGTAATGCTTGCTTGAATATGACCGAGTCAGGCCTCCTCATGGTTAGGACCTTGATCTTTTCAAAGTACAGCTACATTTGCAACCAACAGAGATTTATCATATAAAACTTCCCTACACCTCAAAGAAGCAAAGAATTACCACATAAGAGAGATAGAAGGAAACATAATTCCATGTCCAGTAAACCTGAAGTTCTCTTGATAGCACATGCTTGACGGGTAATCTAATATCAACAGGAAAACCATCTTCCTTATACTCTGACCTTTTCGCATCAGCAGTTGCTGTTAGGACTGTAATAAAAGAGAAACCAAACCCAAACATCAAATCAGAAAGCCTCTGAGAGTAAATACATTATACATTATGCAACTTGGATTAATAACTTTCAAACTAATACTGGACTGGAGAATGCGAAACACCCAAATAGTAAAACTCAAGGAATAGATTCCAAAACTAAAAGTGATCCATGATTCGGCATCCACTTGCAAACATAGGAGCATACAGCCATACCTTCAACTGGAGGATTCTCAGGAATTGCGGGTTGAACTCCTTCAATCGCTAGCCAGTGAGCAGTAACTGCGGTATGCAGAGGAGGCTTCGGTAAAGGCGATTCCATGACCTGCAGACGTTACACAACAAGATCAGAATGCAAAATCTCATTCTCAAAACTTCCCCTCAACAACTCAAAGTTGTTTACTTACATCTTTAAACTCCACAACCTTGTCATCAACGTAGTAAAGATCCTTAAACCCACCAGCTCTCTTGAATCGCAGAGAGTCCTTGGAGGTGAACCCATATACAGGCTGCAAAGGCAAAAGCAAGGTAAACAAACTAACCAACAAAAGACCAAATCTTCTACCCAAAAGAGACCGGGAACAGACCTCGACGTTTCTCAAGGTAAGAGCGCTATCTACATCGTCGCCGGTCAAAGTGGTTCTCCTAGCGTGGCGCATGCACTTGATTGCTTCCTTCAAATCAAATTCGTTTCCGCCCCCACCATTGAAAATGAATCGAATCAGAAGAACAACATCAGAAAAATAGAACAAAAGGGGGGAAATTGGGGAGGTGGGTACTACCTGCATAATTTCACGGAGTCGGTACTCGGCATCAGGAGCAAGTGCGAGCGAAACCTCAGGGGAGAGATTCGTAATTCCTACGGTCTGTGCAATCACTTCGATTGCTTCCTTTGGAATGCCTGCTGAGCTCATTCTCGCTTCGTTTACGGTCTCCCCTGCCACAGTTCAGTATGAATTTCGGAGCTCGGTTGAAAACAAGTGGTTTCGAGGATGAAGGGAAGAAGCTCAAGTTTTTGTGCTGGAAGGCCAACTATCAACCGCGTGAACTGTAGGGGGACGTTACAGTTGGGGAATGTTGGAGGGAGAAGGAGAAGAGCGGCGGCGGCGGATGGAGTAGCGGTTTTCGGCGACGGAGATTAGACTGGAGCGGAAGAGATGTCCGAAACTCTGAAAATGAAACGTCGTCGTTTTCTTTCAGGCTTATAATTTTCAGTTTGGGCTTGCCAAGTTGATGGATCGGGCCCAAGGTTATAGTTGTGGACTTGTGGAACTTCCCAGCCTAGTTATTCTGCGCTAACGGCATAAGTTGTTAGTATATACTAACTAATATCCAAAATGTATGAACATGTATCCAAGTTTGCTGAGTATCTAGATAGCACAGACTAGTATTCAAAACATCACAAACTAGTATCCAGATAGCAGATACCAACTAATATCCACAATCAACCAACTAGTATTCAATATTGATACTCTTATGTGTTATTTGGATACTTTTATGTGTTATGTGGATACTAATTATGTGTTGTATGGATACTATTCTGAGTTGTCTATATATTTGTTTGTGAATTTGAGATAATAGTTGATTCGTGGTGGATATAAGTTAGCAAACTTTGAATACTAGTATGTGATCTCTAGATACTTTAGTACTTGGATACTAGTTCATGTATTTTGGATATCAGTTAGTATCTGCTAACGAATTTTCAAGTTAGCAGATTAACTTTTCCCGGAACTTCCGGTTTCATTTTGGATAATGTGACTCTTCCTTTTGCATTGGTGAATTTGGATTAAATAGATTAATAGATTAGGGATTGGATTAAATGAATTGGCGAATTTAAAAGTTCGAGTAATGATATTTTATTGAAATTTTAATCGGTAGGTAATTTTTAATAGTATGAAATGATTAAACTATAATCAAACGATAATTTCAGTATAAAATACCTTACCGTTAACTTTTACGTTACGACTTTTGGTACGATTGTACAATCTTTGATTGTACAATCTTTGAATAAAGTTAAGATGTGAATAATAAAAAGTTGTAATAATGTAGATACGTGGCAATGCCAAATATGAATGAAGCACAGACAAGACATGAAGACAACCATATATATTTCACATTAAAACGTGTAGTTTGGCTTTGGTTGACCAACAGACAAACGACACACTCGAGCCAAATCACTTGGGTTTCATTTACAGTGTTGATTCCCGATATTTCTTTCTTTTTTTTGGTATTACAGCTTCTGCCACATCAACATAGCACCACCATAGAGGAGCGGAAGCAGAGAATTTCCAAACACAAAATGGTTCAAAACAAACAACAGGGGAAGGTACAGCAAAAACAGGAGGGGAGAACGACTTGTTGCAGAATGGGCAGAGCAGCAGGCAGACAAGGCAAGGCAATGGCCGATATAGTGAAAATGGGGGGTTTCAGGCACGATCACAAGTACTTGATCAGCATATATATGACCACAACCAGAGCCACGATCCCAATTACGGCCATAAGCATGCACAGGCAGGTGCAACCGCCCTTGGTCCGCTTGTTCAATACTCCCAATTGCTTCTGCACTCGCTGTGTTTTCAAGAAAATTGAGGAAAAGGAATCAGAAGTATCCTTACCAACACTTCGGGCAAACACAGCAATGATAATAAGATCCAGCACGATGTAAAACAGTCGGATGAAATGCAAATGTTGCTGGTATGTCTGAATTTTGCTAGTCTAGGGGTAACAACATTACATTGCTGCTAAAACGTTCAGGGTATAGCTAATCTAGAGTCTCAAGAGTTCTGGAAAAAAGTTGGAAAATTTAAACGCCGAAGAAGCCTTTTGCAGAATCAACAGGAAGGAATATAGCAAAAGGCGCTAATGAAATAGCATTTAAAGGGTTAGGTATGTTTGGCACAAACCATATATAAACTAAGCTATAACCATGCCGAATGACCTCAGATGTAAACTTGGGGTATGGATGATCAGCTGGTAATAAGTCATAGGAAAGTTCCCAATGAAACACATCCAAAGAAATGAGCTTGCTTACCCTTAAGCGAGAGTCCGTCACATCCACATGTTCATCCAAGTCATCCTGCAATTCAAGGGCAAATCCATGATTCTTCCAAACTAACATGCAAGTTCTCCTACATTTTAGTTGTAAGCCTAGGACATCATAATCTGAACAAATGGCGAATGAAAGAAATAAAAGGAGCATACAATAAGTCTGGTGTGAAGATCTAGTTCTTCATTGACTGCCAAGGCGATGTGTTTTGTACTTATTACTGTCTCTTCCAGCTTCTCAAGCCCCTCATCTTGCTCTGCTTCAAAGGAATATCTCCGTTAGAGTTCCAAAACCAAAAGGACTATAAGCAAGGAAATCCGAAATGACAACTAACAAGATGCAATAACAAATTGATAACAACTATATTACCTCTCATAACTTGCCTCTGAAAAGTAACGAGACCATGGTTGTCCAAACCAGTTGTTCGACTCATGATGTCAGATTGCTTTATTTCAGTGCCTAACAAACTATCCCTGTTAGCAAAGCTTGTCATGTTCAACGAGGAAGCCATCTGGTTGGCTTTCGTCCTCAGGTTCCCAATCATGTCCCTCCGACGGTTCATTTCCTTTTCCGATCTGTGCACCACAACCACGAAAGTTTGACAAATTTAGAAGCTTTCTTTTGCCAGCATAGCCTCCAAAGTTTAACTTGTTGAACCAATACAACAACCACATTGCAACAATCAAACACTAGTTCGCCAATAGTTGCAACAGGACGCCACAACGACGGTTAGATGACTAATTTATGATCAAAATGAACTGCTGCGTGCACAACATATAACTCTACGTACCAATGAAACAAGGTTAAAGCAGCACAAATGGAAAGCCAACTACAGGAAACAGAATCTGCACAGCATATACTGTATTATCAAGCTTAAAGAGGGATGGAGGTGAGTTGACAGTAGCTTACACATGCTGCTTTCCGGGAAGCTTTGTCAAGAGGGTCTGTAAGCTATCAAGTCGGGTACCCAAAATGGTGATCTTCCGCCGAGCAGCAGAAGCATGACGCTGGCTTTCAGGTCCAGCTGAAGGGAGAGAAGATATCATCCCAGTGATATCATCCGCAAGCTTTGCCGCTTCATTGTACTCCTTCATCCACGCGTCGGAAGAAGATGCCATCTTCTCTGCCTGCAAACCCAAGTTCATTGAAACTTATGATCAATCATCAATCCAGTTTAGCGAGGAAACTAATGAAGCGTGAACAATGAAAGCTGGAAGGAAATCCACGATTTTTCTCCTAAAGAAAACATAGAAAAAGCTATCAAATTTAGAGCTAATTCACAAAAATTCAAAACCCCAATTCCGCCAAAATCAAGACCTAGATTCCGGACTACCCCAATGATTGAAAAGAAGAAACCCAAAATTCCAACGGGGAAGAAAAGGAAGCCCTAAAAAAATCCGATCAAAACCCCCCAATTCAACGAATGCGAGATTAAGAGGGAATTAGGAATGATCACCTTAGAGCTTCTATTCACCGTTGGGCTTCCGATCGGTGGAACTGTCACTGCTTCAACGACAGAGGACGATGAGAAAGAGGCAGAGAGATCGAAACAGCGAGAGGGTGAATTGAATTGAGAGGCTACTAATTGACTAATGTAATAATTATTACAAGAATTGGATAAAAGGGGGCTGTCCGGCGGAATTATCAGCGCCAAGCAGAGCGGCAGTCCGGCTCGGCACCGTCGTCGTCGTCTACCTCTCGCCCTCTTGTTAACTTCAAAATTGGGAACGGACGGAAGAAAAGATGGCTGCTTTCCTTTCCCCACTTGGGTCTTTCTCTCTCTCCCTCCCTCAATTTCTTCTTGCTTTAACACGACAGCGTTGGCTTCCCGGCAAGTTTCTTCTTCCGCGTCGTGTAGCTGAGCTGGGTTTTGTGACCTCTTCTGATTTAATTTATCACCCTATTATTATTTTTTTATTTTCTAAATTTCCGTTACCCGCCGTTTACTCCACCGTCCTGCCGCTCTCTCATCCTCCGCCACAGGATTTAGCCCTAATTTTAATCCATTAGTGGATGACTTTAGTTTAATGTGGTCAGGAATCAGTACAAGATGAGGAGGTTTTCATGGTTGGACAGCCCAGTCGATTACAGAAACCAGAAACCATGGTTGAAACTTCAATATGGATACAAAGAAAGAGTACAGAAGCAAATGAATTTTGCGGGGAGGAGCGGTTACTACATTGGCATCTCTGCAAATGATGCTATATATGCTTACTCGAAATGCCTACCGGAAACCCCACATTTGATTGATCTCGGCTGCTGTTCTCATATTACACAGAACAATTTTATGTACAAAGCATCGTGTAGTTTCCCAGAAACCTGGTTGTCTGTGCTATAAGCGTGCCATTACGTCAGGGCAATGTCGCTGCGGATTATGAGGCTCGAATCCATGCATTTGATTTCACCATCAGCGATTGCGAATCCGTGAATTACAGGCAAGGGAAACCCTCTTGCGAGGTGGGAGTTCACGTATGGGATGAAGATGCTGCCTAGGACAGTGGAGACCATCTCCTGCAAGGAGTTGTCGAACATTATGTGAGAATTTGAAGCTGGCAATGGAGCTCAACACAACACTGCATAAATGTGCGCATATATATATCTCATGTGAGTGCCAAGTAATGTGGAGTACCTCGAGTAGAGGGGTCTGTAGGTTCCCGATGTTGCTCCATTTGGGAGATAATTTGAAACTTCTCATATCTAGAACGCCAGTAAGGTTGTTCCCCAAGATTTGTGGAGTGCAAGAAGCGTTAATTGCCTGCACAAAACAAGTGAAACCCCAAGGATCATCAAGAACCAATGTAAAAATAGTACAGCTAATCTTAGCTTTAGACCTTCGTCGAAGACATCCAAACCAAACATGCTTACCACTGATACACAAGCAACTGGTAGAACTTGAGTAGCATTCAAGACTTTCACTGTCACGTCCAAGGCGATGGCAGCATTACCATCATCCTCTGTAATGGTAATGACTGGAGGAGAAGCAGACTTCACATCCAGAGTCATGTCATCATCGGGGTAAAGCTTGTATAACTCGGGATACACATCCTTCCATGCTGCAGTATTCAAGAGGGATTGATCTGGCAGTTTATTGATCTTCCAATCCATATAACCTGCCTGGACATGTAAAACTCATTAGACATACCATCAGTTAAACTATTTCTCTAAAACCTAGGAAGCGATCAAGCACATTGAGGCTCATCGTCAAAGCACCTTGACGTGGTCGTGTAAAAAGCTGGAAATTGACAGTAAAGCGGGCTTACATTGAAGTATGTTGTTGCAGCAGAATTAAACACATCTTCATGTAGTGATATTCCAATCATACGAGACTCGTCGTCGTAATATAAAGAAGCTCCTCTCCCTACACGGTGATAGGCCGGAGCCAAAGCATTACCCAATGATGTAAACAAACCATCAATTTGCAGATCAACTGAAGATGACTGGAAGATGGGATCGCTGACAAAAGTAACATTCAGTGCAGCAGTACGATCAATGTTGATCAGCTTCGGAATTGATTGCAATTTGGTGTCGAGTTTTGCGATCCCATCTGTGATTTTCTTGGCAACAGCCTTTTCCACCTTGGACTTTATGGTGTTTTGAAAAGCATCAACCAACCTGGAAGGAATGCAGCGGCCCATCAGTAAATACACAGTTAGCAACTCAGCTCAAGTCAGAAAACAAGGTTCTTCAATGCTGTTGAATATTTTCTCAGGAAAGTACCAAGTTTAACACTTTTTCTTCCTAGAACTGAAGGGGTAATCTCATAGTTCTCAATCTGGTAAGATTAGCTGTTAGATGCTACATCAATCGCCTAACCACTTTCCCTAATTGGTTAAAACAAAAGGCCCCAGCAACCCCAGCTGAAGGGTATATATCCTCTTGAACAAACGAACAGCCACAGAAGAGAAACCAAGAAGTTAAAAGAGTAGACCAATTTGCTTACGCTTGATAAAGCCAAGATGCTCCACCATGAACATCAATAGACACATCTTCCACTTGGCAGCCGCAGGCCAAAACTGAAAGCTTCAGGGTGCCTCCATCTTCCTTCACACCCGCAATGACCCCAACTCGCATACCTTCAGCCTTTATCCAGTCAAACCAGAAAACCCATCAATTCCCAATCCCAGTACTCTATCTCGTTCTCACTTATCTTAGCTGACCATTTTACACCAATTTCGCACAATTGAAACTAGCCCAAAAAATAGAAACTACAGGTTACCTGAACTGAGGCAACTCCATGGTCAGAAATCTCGACAAACCAAACCTTGTAAGAATACTTCCACTTCAAGCTCATCTGGGCAGTAATCCCAGAAGCAACCAATTGGATTCCAGGGCGCCCAGCTTGAGCTCGTGAAGAACCCACGGTGGCTTCGTTGATGGCGATGTCAGATAGACGGATGCGGACGGTGCCAACCAGCGGGATTTTGACCGACTTCTCGATGTCGTCCAGCTGAATTGGGATCAGAGAAGAAATTGCTTTGCCTATCAAGACATCCTTGGCGAAATCGATCCCCTGTTGGGTCAAGAGCACGGAGATGTAGCCGTCGCGCCGTTGATCAGTGGGTTGGAGCAGATGGGTATCGGTGTCTTTAGCTGCTGATGATGGTGTCAAATGGGTTGGCAGAACGAGGAGGGAGGAGCAGAAGAGGAGAAAGAGAAGCCGGAGCTCCATGGCAGCGGCGGGGTGAGAGAGGGTTTTTGTCGATGAACAATATTTAGTCAGTCAATAGCATTACAGGGGAGATGGAAGCTTTGATTTTCATTGCTCTCTGAAGCTTTCTCTCGGCCGTCCGAGTTTACCAATAGCATTAGCGTCAGCTTTTTGTCCTTAACCTTTCATTAGCGTCAGCATGTGGCATGAGATTGGATAATTTAGCTAATGAATTATGATTATACAATAGGGAAATTTTGAATTTAAAACAAAATAATAGTCTAGTCTTTCAAAAAATAATATAGTAGCCAACCAAATAATTTTCTATCCATTCAAACATAGTTAACTTTGATGTAGAAATCGATACCGATACCAATGTTAAATTTTGTCCAAAAATTGTGAAACCGCTTCGAATGTTTTACTACAAAAATCAGCGACGTAATATTTTGTAATGAAACTATGATTTAACGTAATTCAATCAATTCATATTGCGAAAATTCACTTACCAATTCAACCGTAATTCAATCAATTTATACCGCAAAAAGCCACTTATCAATTTAGATTTCGTTAGAACTTAGATGGTCTATCAGTCGGAACGGTGGTACAGTAACAAACCCTAATTTTGACATGTTAGCCAACCCATAGAACTAAAACCATTTAATAATCAAACTTTTTATTTTGTACAAAATAATATTCAAATTTTTTGAAATACAATTTAATTTGTAAGTTAAGGCTAGAGTTAGACAAAATACTAATAATCAAAATACTACTTAATTAATATACAGGTTTCTTGACACCTCAGCGCATAATTAATTAAAATATTATTATTTAATTCAGAATATGAAAAACAAGAAGAAAAATTAAAATTATTAAAAAGTTAACATTCATATGGGTAAATGCCACATTTGGTCACTGAGATTATTAAATTGTATCATGTTTAGTCACTAGAAAAATTTAATATCAATTTTGGTCACTCGAATTACTGAAACATATCACATTTAGTCACCGTACCATTACTTTCATGGAATTGGACGGGAACTAACGGTACGGTGACTAAATGTGACATGTTTCAATAATTCGAGTGACTAAATGTGACATGTTTCAGTAATTCGAGTGAGTGGAATTGGACAGAGGTTAATGGAAGAGTGACTAAATATGACATGTTTCAGTTATTCGAGTGACCAAAATTTATATTAAAATTTTCTAGTGACTAAACATGACACGATTTAATAATCCTAGTGACGGCATTTACCCATTCATATGCATATATATTGCTCTATAAGCACTTGCATCACGCAGAGCGCGGGCTTCCTTCTGGTAAAAGTCATAATTGACAACAGAAACCAAGTTCCAACATAACTACTAAACCAACTCTGGATCAAACTTCTAATAATCGCCTTAATTCTTCAAGTCAGATTCACTTATGCCAAACTGTGAAGCACCTGTCTTCAATGGCCTTATCATAATATCTGCAGTTCACACTGTAGCTGGAGTGCTGGACAATATTTCTCAAGGAGCAACACAAAAAGGATACAATACAACACTTCCTTCTTCAGCTGCGCAAAGAAGGTAACTCAGAGTCGAACTTGATCAACCAAAATGCAGCAACCACACCATCTACATTGCCCTTCCACAGGACTTGCCATATATTCTTAACTTGTTACCCGACTACCGGAGATAGAGAGGAAAGAGAGCCAAAAGCTACGAGCTTGGCTCCACAGATTCAGGTATCAATAATTGTCTGGAAGAATCCGATTGAAGGTCCTTGGCGGAAACATGTTCTGGAAAGCAGAACGAGTTTGGAGGCAACTGCAGATGATCACCATTGGTTTCCAACATTTCCACAACTTTGGCCATCAATGGACGCTGTGACACGCTCTTTTGGATGCACCATAATCCCACAACACACAGCTTCCTCGCTATAGCAGATTCGAGTTGAGTAACATTCTGTAGCTCCAAATCTCCTCCTTCACTTAAGTGGTCATAAACCCACATGGGGAAGTACACTTGGGAAGAAGATTTCCCCTTTGATTCGGCCAGCCATTTCCCTTCGACCATTTCAAGCAACAGCATTCCGAAACTATACACGTCTGATCTGCACAAAACATCTCCCAAGCCATTTGAGAGCACTTCTGGTGCAACGTACCGGAGATCAGCTCTTGGAGTCCCCATGGAGAAAGAATCCTTTCCCTCCTTATTATGGAATTTGGACAGCCCAAAGTCTGTAACTTTTGGAACAAAACCATGGTCCAGCAACACATTTTGAGATTTAATATCCATATGAAGAATGCATGAATCACATCCCTCATGTAAATGCCGGATCCCTCGAGCTGTCCCCAAGGCAACCTGAAGGAGTTGCTCCAAGCTAAGAGGCTGGAATTTTGTTCCCTCTTCTCTTGAAGCTATGTACTTATCAAGCGATCCATTAGGCATGTAATCCAATACGAGAACATTGTGAGATCCTTCAGAGCAAACTCCAAGAAGCCTAACCACATTGTTGTGATGAACTCTAGCGATTACATTGATTTCATTCACGAAACCCTCGCCAGCGAGCTTGATTGGATCACCAAGCACTTTGACCGCGACCAAACCACCATCAGGCAGTTTGCCCTTGAACACAGTACCAAACCTGCCTCGGCCTATTTTGTCTCTGAATTGATCCGTCATCGCAACTATATCAGCGTAAGAGTACCTCCTAGCCACAAGAGAAGAATTCGAAACAGCAACAAACTTCCCCTTGGCCACCACCATTTCTGTAACAGTACTCTTCTGTGTTGTTCTGTACTTGTGGATCAGGAACCCAAAAACCACCATTGGAGCGAGGACGAACCTGGCCACCAGAGTGACATCAAAGAAAACACTGGAAAGAAAACCGGCGAAGAATGAAACCACACCATAAACGTAGTACTCTGGACTGCGACATTCATAGGTGAACGGAGTGTCATATCCAGTCATAACACATTCATGGCCACGAGCAAGGCAATCCCGGCACTCAACAGACCATCCAAGATCAAACCCTTCCTGCAACAACAACATAATGTTCTCATAGCTCGGACCCATCACCGCCTGATAAATCGTGGGAACCCTAGCGAGGAAAGAGCAAGGACCCTTGAGCCCAGAAATTATGTAAGTCCCGTAGCTGACATAAACTGAATTCAACCCATCATCATCACTCAAGCAAGGTACTCTCCTGTAAGATTGGATGGTGATATTACCGCTGCATCGCACAAAGCTGGTCTCGATGTTGGAAGCGAATCCTCTGTAACGGGAGTCCTCATTCAATTCCATAACGGAAAGCGATTGGGAAGGCAAGCCGATGCAGGTTCCATTGGCGGCGAAGAAGCTCGGATCGACGACGCGAATTGTGCGGCTTCCGTAGGAGATTCGGCGGACGTGGTACTTACCGGAGTGGAATTGCAAAGTGGGTTTGTCGTTCTCACAGGAGATCTCGTAGTCGGTGTCGCCGCAGCCTTGTGGGTCGGTGGTGAGGCGAAATGGGTAGGTGATGCCCGTGAGCTCGCCGCAGGAGGAATTGCAGGTCTGAGCGAGGAATCTGGGTTGAGCTGCTTGGGCTGTGAGGAGGAAAAGCAGCAGAAGGAGGGGAAGTGTTGGGAGAAAGGAGGTGTTTGGGGATCGAATCATCTTCTTGCTGGTTGCGTTGGCTAGCTTGTATTTTTTGGCTGCTATTTGCAGAACGGGTAGATGGCTGGCAGCCATGGGAATGAAGTAGAATCTCAGGAGGCAGGAGAGAGAGTTGACTGGAGTGGACTCGAAGATATTGTTATTTAATATTAAGTATTTCGTAAAGTACTATTATTACAAGGAAAATATTAAGATTACAAAAGTCAAAACCACTATAAAATCTTATCATACACTAACACAATACATCATTGATCATTCAATTTAATACACCTGGTTACTATAGCTATAACAATCGAATTTGTGACAATAATTTTCAATTTTTCATAAATACACAAAATTTCCAATTTCATTCAAAATTTTAGCGAATTTATTTTAGATGCTGATTGGACTAACATTTTTGCTGACTTGGCGACACTTCTAGGTTCGGCACCTGGAAGCGAATTATTAGCTTGGAGTTAATTAACAAAACCAAATTATAGAAGATAATTATCTTTTATCACGAATGACATTTAACTCGTCAATTACATACTTATGATCATGGTTCAAACAGACACGCTTAACCTTACGCTTAGGCACGCCTAAGCGTAAGGCAATGGCAAAACATCTTGCCTAGGGGATTTTCGCGCCTAATTAGATACTAGAACACGTCAATAGAGTAAGGCGACATATAAGTCTCTCCAAAAAATTACTAGATGGAGCTTGTCGTCCAGTAGTGGGCCTCCGGTTCGTCTTCCTATTATCATAGACAGAATCAATCGTGCTGATGCAAGAGATAACCAGATGGGTGCTGTACTTGCAGAGATCATGCATCATTTTCATGTCCATTCTGGTTTTAGTGTGCGATTTGTAGGTCGGGGTAACAATATGGTAGCTCATTTGGTGGCTAGAAAGACCCTTTCTTTGTATCCGACTATGAGTCGTATCTTTGATTTCCAGACCTGACTGAATTCCAGGATGTAACTGTTTTTTTTTTTATGAATCAATAAATGATTAGCTTTTGTAAAAAAAAGAAGAAGTTAGGAAGTCAATATTAAAGGAGAAAATTAACATCAACTATGAAATCAATTTTCTATATCAATATTTTAAGGGCAATGTCTATTTTTTACCCAAACCTTTTTCAGATTCTTTTATTTTAACCAAACCTATAGAAATTCTATTTATTATCCAAACGTATTATAATTTATCAAAGTCTGGGCATTCATTCTGTTACCGTTACTTATTTCGTCCACGTGAGAGGTGGGATTTTGTTTTATTTTTTTATAATCTTTTTATTAAAAATAGTAAATGATGGTATTCTGACCGCCACGTAGGAAGTCAACTCATTATGGTCATACTTAGTCAGCATTACTAACAGAAAAGTTGACGGAGAGTTAACGTTTGGATAATTTTTAGGAATTCAATAGGTTTGGTTAAAATAAAAGAATCTGAAAAAGGTTTGGGTAAAAAATAGACATTGCCCATATTTTAAATAGCTCAAGAACTTTGTGAGCTATTGATCTATGATTCTAACAATTCTTGAGCTATGTTCTTGTCATTAAGTTCTGAGTAAGTTATTAATCATCTTAACTGAAGTGAGGAAGGTGCTATAAATTATTTTTTTCATTCATCATGTCGTGCGAATTGCTATTTTTCTTCCAACACCTAGGCTCAGACAAAGGCTCCACGCCCGCCTTACGCCTAGCGGCTTTTTAAACCTTGCTTATGAGACATGATTCAACCACATAGTAATTCATAGTCAATGCAATCAAAATCACATTCTACATGAAAAGTGTTTTGGTGATATAAAAGCGTGAAAACATAAAATTTCAAACTTCAAAGCACAGATTTTAACTATATACTTGTTTGTAAGTGAAAACCGCGATTCTAGATTTGAATGCATTCTTAATATGTACAAAAATTAAATATTGAGACTAAAACATGAATGAACTCTTACTAGCAAATTCAGCAACATGAACGAGTATTCTTCCGCCTTAATCAAGTTCTATAATTTCTGTTTTCTTGGAAGGATCCACAATCTCTTTCGCTTTCTTTTCCCGCCGGCGTTTCCTTGCTTCTTCTTCTTCATCGTCATCCAAACACAGCGGCCGCTTGTGACTGCCCTCGTCGCCGTCCGGAAACAGAGTAATGACGCCGCCGTTTTTCACCCTTCCATCCAAAATCGCCTCGGCCAGTGGATCTTCCACCAGCCGGATAATCGCCCTCTTCAATGGCCTCGCCCCGTAGCTGGGATCGTACCCTTCTTTGGCGATTTTCGCCTTCAATCCCTCTGCCACCTGCAATCGAATCCCCTTCCCCGACTTCATCCTGTCGGCCAATTTCTTCAACATGATCTCGATGATCTTGTTCAGATCCTCCGCCGCCAGCGGCCTGAAAATCACAATCTCATCCAATCTGTTCAGAAGCTCCGGTTTGAATGTCCCCTTCAGCTCCTTCATAACCTGCAGTGTAGTCAAATACTCAAAATTGCGTTTTAAAATTTAAAAATTTACGCTTTTACGTTTCTAAGTCATCAAAATGATTCTACTAAAAACACGCTTTAAAACGTAAAAGATTACGATTTACGCTCTAGATCACCAAACTGCTTCTACGTAGAAACACACGATTTTCATAAAAACGATTTGGTGATCTAGAAATGTAAAATCAGAAGTTTTTAAACTTTAAGTACAGTTTTTAACTAGCAAGCTTCGATTATGGCATAGAAGCTTTTTGGTAACTTAGAAACGTAAAAAGCAGCGTAAGTTTTTAAACTTTAAAGTGCGATTTTAACTGCATTGTTAACCTGAGCCCTGGCCGCGGCTTCGTCGTCGTTGGGGATCCCCTGAATCACGGCCCCCTGTCCGACGTTCGAAGTCAGGACGACGATGGCGCCGCCGAAATCGAACTTCTGCCCGCGGCCGTCCGTCATGGTGCCGTAGTCGAGGATCTGGAGGAGCGCGTTCCAGACGTCGGAGTGGGCCTTCTCGATCTCGTCGAAGAGGACGACGGAGTTGGGTTCCTTCTTGATCGCCTCCGTCAATTGGCCGCCCTGCTGGGAACCGATGTAGCCCGTCGGGGATCCGAAGAGCTTCGCCACGTTGTGCCGCTCCATGTACTCGCTCATGTCGAGCCGGATCAGCGACCGCTTCGACCCGAAGAACTCGATCGCCAGGGCGTTCGCGAGCTCTGTTTTCCCGCACCCGGTCGGGCCCGTGAAGAGGAAGCTCGCGACGGGTCGGGTCGGGTCGGAGACCCCGGCCGAGGCGCGGCGGACGGCCCGGGCGACCGCCTTCACCGCTTCCTCCTGTCCGATGATGTGGGCCCTCAGTCGCTTCTCTATGTTTTGAGCGGCCGCCGTGGATGGTTTGCGGATTCCGCCGGCGGAAGAGAGATTAGGGTTCAGGCCGGCGCCTTGTAGAATCGAAGAAGCGAGAGTATTATATTGATCGAATGGATATGTGGGATCCGGTGGGAGAAATCCCGTGTTCCGGCCACCGCGTGACATTGATGGCGTTGAACCGATCGCCGAAATCCTTCCTGATATAATTCTTCAACCGATGAAAATTGAAATTGGACAGGGGTAGTTATTCGTAGAGCTTCACACGAACCCTAATCCTATACTAATAAGGAAAACAATTTCACTTTAGGATTTTTTCCCCCTTGTCTTTGTAGGTTTTAGGGAGATTTCACTGTAAGATTCAGTTCTCCTAAAAGCTTTTATAAGTTCAGTTAGATAGCCATCGTAGTTTTTGGAGCTAAGTCCCAGATCAGTATCATTAGTAGGATCTATAAAATGCTTAACTTTTATATTTCTTTTTTTGGCTAAATAAATCCGTTTAGCATCTTGAAATATTTTATAATATTGAATAAGATTTCCATAAAATATTTAATTTGTAATGTTGTATTAATGTGATTAAATATTGCTCTTAATAAATAAATATTTTGCGTTGTCGGTCTTCCAGCTTCTCGTGCGGTCCCACTTCACCAATTCGTAAGCTACACTCTTATATATCATTTTTTTTTTCAATCACGATTGGTAGATTTATGGGCAATTTTGGAGAGTCAAAAATGGAGGTTTCGGTTAGCGGTGATGTGGCTATATATAGTCGATGCCATCAAATTTGGAATTACCATTTTCAATATGTTGGTTGATTCTGAGACTTCTTTGCATTGGGGGCTTTGTTTGGTTACCATTTCTCTTGAAACGTAGTTTGTGAGGGTTTTGATTACTCGAATGACAGCCTTTTAATGAATCGAGGTCGAATTTTGCAAACGTAATTGGCGGGGCAGTTTACCCACTAACAGATTGGTGGGACTGTTCTATTTGACTACAATTTGGACCTAAAGTTTGAATCTCTTTCAATGAGTAGTAGTAATCTCTTTACTAACCGGTTATGATTTGGCAACATATTGATTATGCATGTATCATGAAAAGAAATTGTAACGTTATTCTTTCAAGAATCTTTTGTATAGATAAGACTTTCATTACCAAGACAATTGAATTAAAGTGCCTAAATACATTAGTAAGATATATGATGTTTGGCATTTTTCAATACATTGTTAAAGATTTAACTTATCAATCCGTATGTACTTTTAAGTAGGGGGTGTCGATTCAGGTCGGGTAACCGAACCGAAAACACAAAAGCTATTTTTTGAAAACCGAACCCGAAACCAATAAGAGATTTTTCGATTTCGAGTAACCGAACCTGAAAAGTGTCTTAACGATTTCGGGCAAAATCAAAACCCTAAAACCAAAACAAGCTATTGAATATGAAGAGTTGATATGGCTTCCGATTTTTAGTTAAACCCAAAACCGAAAAACTAAACCTGAAAACTAAAATTCCGGACCCAAAACAAAACCGAAACTGAAAACCCGAAAATACATCTTACTGGTTCGAGTTCAGTTAAAACTGAAAACCCGAACCCGAATTGATGACCCTAGGTTAAAACCAAAAACCTGAACCCCAATTGACACCCCTACTTTTGGAAAAAATCCAAAAGTACCACTGTTTAAAAAAAAATTC